GGTGAAGAGAAACAGGATAACTTGTAAGAGCTAGCAATAAATGATCATAAGGCTGAAAATTCATACCTAACAACAAGTCTCTTGCTAGAGAACTAGAAAGTCTGGCCTGAAAATGATTCTTTTAATCACAGTGTCTTATGTTCCCTTTCAGGCTGTCTTCAAACTTTCCCACTACATTATCGATTGCTCCACTTGCAGGCAGGCCCCTCCTTTTGCCTCAATTCATCTCCCCCATTCAACTTCTGCTGTCCTCCACTCGTGCTCTGATTATGCTGCTCAGGTGTCTCCTCTGCATTCCAGTCCTAAACCACGTTTACCCCTAATCCAGAGATCATTCTAGCCTCCTAGCTTCCCCTATGCCATACCCACTATGACTACCCCTTTCAGGCTACAGATTTTGGAAACATCTGTTTCTTTAAGAGGTACCTGGAGCCACGGGTATTGTCCACATGTATATATCTTTTCATGTCTATTCTTTGCCAAATAGAAGGCAAATTAAGAGTCAGCCTCTAAAATTCCTTTACAATATAAAAAAGAATTTGAGTCCTTAATAATTTCTTATGGTATAGGTTAGATATATGTGCATGCGCACTCGCACACACGCACCCCCCCCACACCAAATGAAAACCTTCTCTTTTGTCTTACCCACCCTTCATAAACTCTTCAAAAACTCACCAGTCTTCACTTCATCCAGACATAGCATAGGCTAATTTTAGTGATGCACTAGGGTTTAGAAAGAATTAGAAAGTGCTGGGAAAATCAGCATAAAATAAAATCTTAATTACAGTCATTGGGAGATCTACCAATCAGCATGCACAGGAGAGGGAAGCCAAAAGATCAAGTCCACAAGAAGATCTGAGGTGGGAAACAAGCTTTTGCATCTGCTATTAGTAGGATACTTGCTGGATGTCTCTTTGTTCCAGTTTTAGGTAGTCAGCCTGACCATTGATTAAAAATTGCCTCCCACTTAGTCTATCTTGACAAACCTGTGAAAATGTCAGACATAAGGACAGTTATCTCCCCCTCAGATGTAGTGGGTGTCAAACTCAACAAAATCTGAGTAAGTCTCAAGCGGGTGGGTACTTCTGAAATGATGGATCTTCTTGGCTTCCTGCAGGAGGCTGACTGACACAAGGCAGGGCCAAACAGACCCCATTTTAGACTATCCAGTTACCTAAGCCCATGGTAGCTCTCCCTCTTCAAACAAGGGTATAATTTTTCTCTTACATACAGATCCTGAATGTTCAAGACCTGTTTTTCTAGTTTCTTTGTTGGTGGAAATCGATGGCATTCTACCAATGGCCACTCCTCTTTTGTTGTGTATTCTTTTTTCACACTTTCTTTCTTATTTAATCTTTGTGTCTGTCACATCATGCATCCCAATCCCACCCATCTCCTGTCTCCTTGCATCTGCCCTTTGTCCCTGTAGCCTCTCCCCCACCAAAACACAATTACAAAATCAAAAAGAAAAAAAAAATAAAGGAAGAAAGGGAAAATCTTGTCATGGAAGCCTCATTGTGATACAGTGATTTATGCAGTAAACCCTTTTATCCATATGCCTTTATATGGAGTGTTCTTTGCAATGAATCATTGGTTTGGTTGGAGACTTTTAGTCTCTGCTACACTATCGGCACTGGACCCTCACTGGGACTCTTTCTGGACATCCCATTGCTACCTTGTGTTGCGATCCTGGAGCCCTGGTCCACAGGATAGCCCCACTTCCCGTGCTCTGGTGGATCACAGATGGGGTGAATGTTGGGGTGGGCAAACACATAACCCTGGTACTGGCCCTGGGTAGTTGCAGGTTTGGTTGCTACCTCTCCCCTCAATTCATCACCAGGGTGAGTTCTCAAGCATTGTCCTGGCTAGTTCACCCCTTGCAGCAATAAGCAGGGGGTGGGGTCAGTTTTCCCATCCTCACAGTCAGTTCTCCTATACCTATGTCTTCAGGGCCAGCTCTACTGTGTTGCCCAGTCAAGGGGACCAGGCTACATCTGTACCCTATTTAACCTCAAACACAGTTTTCTAACCAATGGATCTTCACCAGGACCTTGTATCATCTTTGCTCTCTAGTATCTCCCACTTAATAACCAGTCAGGTTTCTTCTCTGCTTGGGACACATCAAACTCAGGTAGAGTCTTGAATATTCCTTCCATTTTCTTCAAATTTAGAGACCTATCCTCTTCGCCATGTAAGTTTCAAAGCTTTGAAAGCATCCTAACACATTATTACAAGTTCCTAGTGTCTTTAACCCCATTCATTTTCCACATAAAATTTCCATTCTCCCCTATCTCAATGTATGGACATTTTGATATGATTTCAGGCACACATGTGTCACAGTGCATGTGTGTGTAGGTCACAGGACAACTTCAGGTGTTGGGTCACACCTTTACCCTTATTTGAGGGTTTCCCAAGCATGGTCTTGACCCTTTTCCTCATCACTCCTCCCTCTCAACAACTGGATTCCAGGAGTTCAGCTCAGTATTTGGGTGTGGGTGTCTGCTTCTGCTTGCATCAGCAGCTGGATGAAGGCTGTAGGATTACATTTAAGGTAGCTTCTCCACTAGTGCTTAGATTCTTAGATGAGACAAGATCACTTGTGGATCCTGTGGTTTACTCCAGGGTGTATGGCCTGCAAGCTCCCAGGGATTCTCTTGTCTCTGCATCCATCTCACCTAAGATTTCTAGAACTGCAGATATGCAGTAGACCAGCCAGCATTAGGAGCTCACAGAGACTGAAGCAGCAATCACAGAGCCTGCATGGGTCTGCACCAGTGCCTCTGCACACAGGCTGTGGTTGTCTAGCTTGAGGTGTTTGTGAGATGCCCGACAGTGTGAGCGGGGCTGTCTCTAAATCGTTTGCCTGCTCTTGGGACCTTATCCTCTTACTGGTCTTCCTTGTCCAGTCTTGAAATGGGGGTCTGTGTTTAGTCTTAATGCATCTTGTCATGCCATGTTATGCTATGGTGATATTAAATGTGTGCACCCCCACTGTCTAGCTGACAGCCATTCTTGATATCTCTAAGTACTCCCAGTTTAAGTGACATTTTCTGGTTCTATGATATTGTAGCATTAATAACATTTCTATAACTTGTTATTTTATTTATTCCTCTGAGACATTACCTTTGAGATTTATAACCATCAGATAAAGTTAATTCCATCTTTTGTATCCATTGGTATAAATATATATATATATTAATGTTCTGAAGAGTTAATTCTCTCTGTTGATGAATAAATAAGTCTTTTCTCTAGCAAGTGAAGATGTTGAACACTATTGATAGGATATTTTTTTCCTACCAAGTACAGAACAGATGGTTGGCCAGGCTGGACTCTAGATGTCCTCCCTGATACAGATAATCCTTTTCTGAAGAATCTTATCTTTTAAGTCAATTAATTATAATAAACTAGTACAAACGATGATATTTCCATAAGGTAATTCATTTGATAATTACCAAGGTTATTAAGAATCATTTGTCTTTCATGTTTTGTTGTTTTTCTTGTTTGGCAGTCAGGGCTAGAGAGAGGATAGCTACTATTATAGTACTCAACATAATCTTGAACAACAGATATTTATGCAGAAGGGTCTGTTGTCTTGATATGGAGAAACATCATGTGATGTCTTAGTTTTATTTTCAAATTTTTATTCAGCAAATAAACATCCAATTTAAAAGGTGAGATTGATAGTACTATGATTTTATTTTCATGAAAAGCCAATTAGAGAATATGTGTATATGTTTACAATAACTTAGGGCAAGAAGGAGTAAAGTGCAAACATAAAGTTTCTTGTTTGATCAACTTATCAAGAGGATGTTGGTGACAGTATGTGAAAATAAAGAAGTAGGGTATAGAAAAATACCTTCAGTTTATACTTTTATTCTTTCAGAATTAGAGGTGCTTGAAATATATCAAAACAACTCAACATTAAAACACGGCTATTTAAAGCAAACATGATGGTACATACCCGTAATCTTGGACCAAGGAGATAGATGAAGGAGATCATGTGTTCAAGGGTAGGCTGAAGTGCATACTGAGGCCTAGTTCACACAGAGTTCTTTGAACAGACCTTATCTTTTTTGCTTTTGAATTTATTATTATTATTTTACAAATTGATTCCAGTTCCCTCTCCCTCCCATTCTCCCATGCCCCCCAACCAGATCTTATCTTTAAAAACACAGCACAACAAAGTAGCAAAAATGCTATCCAGACATCCTTATTTTGTCATTTGTCACTATATACCTGTAATTTGTCCATGGAATTAGATTAACACTCCCGGAAAGATTTTTATCTTAAGAAGGCAAGATTGCTGTGTGTAATTGCTCCCAGGAAGTACAACATATTTGATTCAGGTAGAGGAAACTAGCCAAAGCATCTAAGACATGAGAGACACTAGTGGAGACATTCAGAAAGGTAGTCTAGGCCAAGGAATGGAAATGTTTTCAGATGGATGGAGATGTCATTGGCAGGGAGGCTGTTGGTAACCTTGGAGCATGTGAGAATGAACAGAAACCTAGGAGTGTGTTTGAAAGCCCACAGTAAATTTAGTCATATAGTAGACTTGTGTAAATTTGCCCATAAAGGAGTAAGAGAAATGGAAAGTAATGTGGGTTCAGGGTGTGGATAGAAATTCTTATTTTTAAAGATTAAAGAGGATTCCTTTCCTCATTTTTTTGTATGTGGTGTGAGTATGTGTTTATGTACTGCAGGGGATAAAGCCCATGGAATTGTGTATACTAACAAGGTGTTCTACTACTATTGTTACATTTAAAGATACATCTCATATTTGCATTTTCAAGAGATTTAGAAGCATATTTTGTTAAAATTATTTTAAAGTAAATTTATTTTTATATCACTATATTAAAATATTTTCAAGATATTGGTGAATAATAGTTTAAAATATATTCTATAGTTGCTTAGATTCTGAGTGAAAATGGTTCTGTTTATTACTATATACACAGGACAGGTTGTATAATTGTTACTCAAACATTGCTTTTATTTTTCAGATCTTTCCAGAAATCGCTTTACAGAAATTCCTTCAGATGTGTGGTTATTTGCACCACTTGAAACATTAAATCTATATCACAATTGTATCAAAACCATTCCCGAAGCCATTAAGAATTTGCAGATGTTAACATATCTTAACATTAGGTAAGCAAACAAATTTGGAAATAAACATTTTCAGGGTATAGAGAGGTCGCTCAGCAGTTAATAGATTAGGTCTCTGGTTTTAGAGTACCAGGGTTTGGATTCCAGCACCTTTATGTTGGCTTGTAACCATCTTTAACTATAGTTTCTCAGGATGCAATGAAGTCTTCTGACCTCAGGTACCAGGAATACACATGATGCACATCCATGCATGTTGGCAAAGTACAATATAAGTATTTAATAAACAAAACATTTTTAGGTTTTCTTAAATCTTTAATTGCTATTAATAGAAAAGGAATGGCTTTTCTTTATGCTCATATTGTTTTGTACATTTTTGGTCTTGTTCTTTAAGGTGGTGTTTCTCAAAGTTTCATAATTAGTAATTGTCTGGGGAACCTGTTAGGTCTGCTGAGGTACCTCCATTTTCTAAAAGGTCCCTTGGTAGTTTATCTGCATGTGTGTTGGTCATTAGCTCTCACCTTGAGAGTAAGGTTTTAGAACATAAATATTATCTTCATTTGTTGCCCAGTTCTGAATTCACTTATATGGAATGCTAGTTTCAGTCATACATTATAATGAAACACATTTTATGTAAATTTTTATCATTTGTGATAGTGATAGTTCAAGAATGGGAAAATTGGGATGGAAGGTTGGAAAGTTTGGGAGCAGATGAGATGACAGAAAACTCTTTTATTTGTTTATTTATTTATTTATTTATCTTATTTTACATATCGATCCCAGTTCCCTCTCCTCCCCTCCCTCCCTCCCCCTCCCTCCCTCCCATGCCTCCCGACTACCCTCCCATCCCATTCCCCCCCTCCACTCCATAGGGATGGTGATGCCGTCCAGGAGGGGTCAGCAAAATTGATGACAGAAAATCTTTATGCTTGACGTGATTGATTTTCTTTCATTTTTGGGGCTCAACCCAGGGTATTGTGCATGCTAGGCAAGCATTTTATTACTGAATGACATCCCTAGTCATTTTATGTTTTGGATGGGTTTGCTATGTACTAGGTAATATTGCCTCATTTATTATTTTAACATCATTTTTGAGATATTATTTTGAGATAGGTCATGTTACTCCTATATTTCACATGAGAAAACTGTGTGAGGTTGTTTGCAAAAAGCCATAAATTCATACAGTTGTTTTTTGGTGTCTGTAGGAGAATGACATTTTCCAAAATATTAAAGTCCATCAATATTCAATCAATATTCAGTTTCCTTACATAAATAGTCATAGTGTATGGAGGATTGTGATTGAGACATATGACGTTAGATATTTTAGAAGTCTTTTGAGGATTCCTAATTGAAGAACATTGTCTTTCCCTTTTGTTACACACACACACACACACACACACACACACACACACACACACACTCTCTCTCTAAAGCCAGCCTAATCTTTAAGGAGATTCTCTGAAGAGATAAGATCAGGTGAAAGATATTATCTCCCTTTCCTATTCTTGCTTAAATAACATAGAACTTTTGTCCCTATTCTTTATATAAAATGCTAGGTATGGGTCTCTAAATGCTAATTTGATAAACAGGAAAACAATGTTAGCTTATTGCTTCTCAGTGCTTGCTAGTATATAATTTGAATGTTGTCTTCTCCATCTTTTTGATTTTTAAATACTTTGGGCCAGTCTATTTAAATTTGAATTTGATATATAACATGAAGGGTAAGGATGTCAAAGCCAGATTGACTGGGCTCTTCTGTTTACCAACTCTGTAACTTTGGAATATTTTACTTAGTCTCATCGTGATTTACTTTCCTTTTGAAAATGGGGGCACATGAAGAGTGTTTTCCTAAAGTAGGTAGCTGTGATTGACAGGTGAGTTAATTCAGTTGAGTTACTCTGAACATTTACTGGCACATAGTAAGTACTCAATAAAATGGTAGTGGTTACATATTTAAATGTACTCTAGGGAATTTTCCATTAATGTTAAGCTGGCATAAAGTGCTACCAGGCTGTTCTGCTGAAAATTGTCTAAAATCGACTGGTATTTTTAAAGTTTATTTTACTTTTAATTGAATATATGGGTGTGTCCTTCTGTGTGGGTGTGTGCATATGAGTGCTATGCTCATGAAGCTCAGAAGATGGTGTCAGATTCCCTGGAGCCAGAGTTACAGGAGACAGTGAACTGTCCCATGCTAGTAATGAGATTTGAGTACACTGTAATGACAGTCCATGTCTCTAACTTCTGAGCCATCTTTCCACTCTACAAGCTACCGATATTTTAGAAGATAGACTTCCATCATTTTAAGCACAATGTCTGCACATTCACCTGAGATCCTTTCCATGGTTAGACTTATGAAGGTATTGAGTATGCTAAAATTATGTTCCAGAAGAATGTTCAGACATTCTGTAGCTCTGAAAAATTCTGAGTTATTATTGCATGGGTGACATGTGAGCTGTACCTATATGTAACAACAGACATTTGTGTTTGAATCTCTGCTACAATAGGCAAGTCACCCAGTGACCTTAGGCCTTCATTTTTCAATTTTATATTGAAGCTAATATTTTATGTCTTGGGTTAATGTGAGGATTAGGCAGTGCATGAAAGGATGTTTTATGTGCTTGTTTGCAAAGAAACAGTCAGTAAATGGTACTTGTTGGTGAAGGCTTAAGATCAAGGTGCTTTGTAATTTTTTAGCCTAACATCGAGGTTCAGACATATTTTTCATAATGAGGCTCTCTTAATTTTTTTTTCAGTCGAAATCTTTTATCAACATTGCCAAAATACCTATTTGAGCTTCCCCTTAAAGTTTTGGTCGTCAGCAATAATAAACTGGTATCTATTCCAGAAGAAATTGGAAAATTAAAAGATTTGATGGAGCTGGTGAGTAAAATATTGTATAAAATCATATATGCCAATATAATATGTAACTTTTCATTTTGGAGTTGTATACTTATTTATTTGTGGAATTTCACTGTAATTTTTTTTAAAAACGGGATAACTTGGTATATGTCTAAATTTGGTTGGGTAACAATTTCAGCTGCACTTACCTATGTCTGATTTTAGGCCCCAGCCAACAACAGAAGTTTGGTCGCTCCTCAGTCTTGGATGCTTTAGGAGGCTTTGTTATGAGCTTTCAGACATAGTTTCAAGTCATAGCTGTTTATTCATTTACTTTGTGGACAGAGACATTCTTAAAGAAATGAGATTTTCTTCTGATATTTTATGGAGTTGATGCAGAGATTTAGAACAGAGTGGTAAAAGGCGAGAAGGCAGCCATGTGTGCTGATGGCTCATGGCCTTATTCTCAGCTCCTCCAGGCAAAGATAGGATGATCATTTGAGGTTAACCGTTTTTACATCAAGCCGGCCAACATATTGAGACCCTCATTTCATCAAAACAAACAAATGAACAAGTAATCAGTTTTTAAAAGTAAAGCATAGGATGCTCACAAACAGAAGTAGTATTAACAAGCTTTCTTCAATTAATGTGCTCATATGACTTTATAATGCTTTTAGGACCAAAGTAAATGTAAAGAGGCAATTATATGCAATTGATTGTAGAAATTATTATCATACGTCCGAATAATAACATTTTAGATTTTGCATGATATTGTACCTCTAGATCAAAAGTGCTCAAGCACTGAAGTCTTTTCATGTATTTGTGTTACTTCAACTGTGCTGTTTATTTTAATTTTCTGTTTTGTATTGAGGTAAATCTTTCCTAATAAATTGGTACTTTGGGGGATTTTCTTAAGTAGAACTTTATTATCTTTCAAGGACCAGAAGATATCTTTTTAAAAACTTATTTAAATTTTATAGTGGGAACATATGGTTATAACAATGTACAGTAATCAGAAATGTCAGGATTGTGGGTTAGAAAAGATCTTAGAAATGATCGGATACACTCAACTGCTTATTATAGGAATCTGATAAGTCTACCTGTATATTTCTAAGATGGACAGTTCTCTGGGTTATATTTGAACCTCTCTTAATTCTCTTTTAGAATTCCATTTCTTACTAATTTTTACTACTTTCAACCAAAATAATGTTCCTTTTAGCTTTATCTATTGACTTTGGCCACTGTGTAAAGAAATGTGCAACTTCTTTTCCCTCAAATACTTGTAATCTACTGAGATTTTAAGACCTGATATTTTTTTTTAAAAAAAAGATGAAGCACTCTTATTATCTTTACTTGTTTCCGTGACTTCCTTTTTTTGTGTGTTTTAGTTACTTAAATTGAACTGTGCAGATTTATTAGGGTAACTAAATATTAGCTTTTGAGAACCAAATATTAACAGGTACTTAATTTCACAGCTTGCATAATTTCCTGTTTAATCATACTTATCAGTTCTTTGAAAATTTCATACAACATATTTTGATAGTATTTACTATTCTCCCAACTTTCTCCTGACCCCCCAAATCCACCCAGCTTCCCTACTCACTGAACATTGTGTCCTCGTTAAAATACATAAAAATACCATCCAATTTAGTTTGCCCTGTTCATATATTCTTAGATGAGTGGCCTTCCACTGGGGCACAGTTGATCATACTCTCTAAAACTAACAACAGGGAACCCCAGAACATTTAGTAACTATATTCAGATAAAGAAGTGTCAGTGTAACAGAAATGAAAAAATCAGAAATCTATATACAATAGAAAGTGACCATAATTAGCTAACACTATGGACATTTTCAGTTAAACATTAATACAAATATATTCATATTTTTATTTGATAATGTATGCTGTCTAATATGAACATTGTTGACCTATTATTGGGTGACTCCATTTTAACTGTATTTATATAGACATGTAAATGTATCTTTATATTTCAAGAAGCTTTACAGTAGTAGGTTTCCATATGATCATTTCCCCCCCAAAATGTCTTTTGATGAATGTCCTTTAAATCAGGGATATGCACATACACAAACACACACACACATACATACATACATATATACACACTTATATATTTGGTTTTTCGAGACAGGGTTTCTCTGTATTGCTTTGTAGCCTGTCCTGGAACTACCTCTGTAGACCAGGCTTTCCTCGAACTGACAGAGATGAGATCCACCTGCCTCTGTCTCCCGAGTGCAGGGATTAAAGGTGTGTGCCAGCCACCAGTGCCTGGCAGGGTTATATTTTTATAACCTTGAGAGACTTCAGATGATTCCTTTGGATATCTTTGACTGGGATTAGACCACATGTATATGTGCTTGTAACTGTTTCATAGTCTTAGCTCTTTTGTAGAGAGTAATTTATTTAAACTTATTATGACTGTTGTCTGTTCCTCTACTCACATTTCTAAATGCTTGACTTTCTTGAGGCTTTTATCCTCCCAAATTATCTGAAATCAACTATAATAATTGGCAGGTTACTTAAATTCGTTGATATTTATCTATACTGTTTTATGTCTTCAACATTGGCTCATTCTTCTAATGTCAATGGACAAAGCTGTTCTTCAGTTGAGAGTTTTCGTTATGCGCTTATTATATCTAATCTCAAATTGTTGCATAGATTTTTTATTATTATTTATTTTACATGTTGATTCCAGTTTCTCCTCCCTCTCTCCTCCCTTACCTCCTTCTCTACCCCCTCACTTGCACCCTGACCACCCTCCCCTCCCATTCCCCCACCCCAATTCCACATGTAGAGCAATGCCATCCAGGTGGGGTCATGTAGATCTGTCAGGACATGTGAAGTAGGGGCTAGGATTTCTCTCCTGTCTCTGGTTAAGGCAGTTATCCCTCCATGGGGGAGGTGTCCTCAAGGTCCTCTTGTGCACCAGAAATATATCCTGGTTCCACTGTCTGAGGTCCCTTAGTGGTATATCGACTTATGCAGTAATACAAGTAAAGATCCGCCAGAAAAGGACATTAGAAATAATATTTGTTGCTAGCAATTTGTCCATATTCTTTATTATTTTATTATTTTTATTTTACATGTCGAAATTAAAAATTTATAGTATATTTGAATTTCTCATTTTGATATTTTTTACTTTCTTGTTTTATTTAGGACATTAGCTGCAATGAAATTCAGGTCCTTCCCCAACAAATGGGAAAATTACATTCACTTAAAGAGCTAAATATAAGAAGAAATAATCTTCATGTTTTGCCCGAAGGTAAGATATGGACTGTTTTTAGTTACTTGAGTAAGCGAGTGACCATACAATCTTTAACATTTTTTTTTCATTCTTGAACAGAACTAGGAGATCTCCCCTTAGTCAAATTGGATTTCTCCTGCAATAAAGTGACCGAAATTCCTGTTTGCTATAGGAAGCTGCATCATTTACAAGTAATAATTTTGGATAACAATCCATTGCAAGTACCGCCAGCACAGGTTTGTAGTAAGCATATGATACCTCTTTCTTTTCAGTTTTATTATGATTTTATGTTTATAAATTAAAAAACAGTATTGTATGGGTCCTTTTTGTCTTTTGCATAGCATTATCTAGAGTTTTTCTAAGAACTGATATTTAACATTTTTTGTTTTGTTTTATTTTAAGATTATCTCATGTATCTTTTTTTTGGCTTTTTGAGACAGGGTTTCTCTGTGTAGATTTAGAGTCTGCCCTGGCACTTGCTCTGTAGACCAGGTTGGCCTTGATCCCACATAGATCTGCCTGCGTTTGCTGGGATTTAAGGTGTGTGCCAAAACTGCCTGGCTAGATGTCTTTGAATATTGATCCTCTTCCTGTCTCTACCTGTCAGATGAACTTGGAAACCTGTGCTACTATCCCCTGCTAGAGACTTTATTTTACTTTGATAATAGTTTTAGTGTAGGTTATAGGCAAGCATTTGGAAAACCCAGACTCACTATCTCATTGTATGAATTTGTCATTCTTATTGTAAATCTTACTTTAAAAAAAAAAACAGTTCTGAACTCTCTTAGGTATACATTTGCTTGATATTTGCCGTTGAACTATTGTTATAATGCTTATTGTCATGTGGGTTGGAATTAGAATTTCTTTAGGAAAATTCCATGTTGGGCATTAAGATGGACTCTCTGCTTGACCAAGTGTAGTTTGCTTGAGGTAAGATATATCACGTAAGGAAGACTAGCTACATATCCATTCCAGCATATACTTGTTACTGAGACAGAATTATGACAGATAAAAAGATATAAGTGTAAAACATTCATTTTGAATTTTAATAAAATTATATTTATTATATTATATTTAATTAATATATGAAAGCCACAAGGAATTCACTAAGACAGTAAAGAACAACCTAAGATATAAACTCAGGAGATCAAAGAGAATTCATGAAAAACAGATAGGAGGGTTTTGGAAAACATAATAGAGACGGAATAGTGGTAACCAGTGCCTCCACTTACAGGCACAGATTGGCTGAGGAGCACAACAGTTCCTACTGCTACCAAGCTTTGGCATATGAGCAGCTACCTTTTTTCTTTCAACAATGATACATTGCATTCATTACAAATGGACTATTTTCTTCTTTTTTCATATATTCATTAATTTTTAGAGAACTTCATACAATGTGTCTTGATTGTACTCACAACCCCCTTCCTTTTTTCCTCTCCCTTCTACAAGATCCACTTACTCCCCATTATTTCTTCATTTTTGGCTTGCTTTTCATCAGAAGAGACTATCTCCTAGCAGAAATCTGGGCCCTCTTCCTCTTTTAACTTTTAGTTACCTCTTTTGTGATGTTTCTGAGCTTTAAGTGTAGAAGCTTTGCTGCACATATATTTGTTGGGGCTGGATATACAAAGGTCAGATGACCTCTGCATTTTGACTAGTTGTGGCTTTCTTTTATTCTTACGTTTTATTGAAAATAGATATTTTCATACAATATATTCTGATGTCTCTTCTTCAACTCCAAGACTCCACAGCCACCTCTCCAAACACTGACATTCACATCCTTTCTTGCTCTATCTCATTAGAAAACAAACAGGCATCTAAAAATAATAAAGTAAGTTAAAATAAAAATAAACAAACTTGAGTAGTACCAAGCAAGCAAGCAAACAAAAAGGTAAAGCCGAGAAAAAGCACAAGAAACATACACATGTGCATAATCACAGAAAGAAATCCCCTAAAACACAAAATCAAAAATCATAATACATAAACAAAAGAACTGTGTGGTAATAAAAGAAGAAAGAAAGAAAATGCCCAGACAAAACATTATGAGAAAAAAAATAACTTTCAAATTTTCCACGGAGTTTATTTTGTATTGATGTCTACTTCTGGGTGTGGGCCTGGCCTTAAGAGTAGTTTGTGTACTCAAGAAGACTCCATTATAGAAACTAATTTTTCACTTGCAAGTGGTTACCAATTGGACATACCTTCTGGGTTAGGGATCCAGGCTTGTGACTACTTCCCTGCTTAGCACTGAGACTTTGTCTGGCTTACACACATGCAAGCCCTGTGCATGCTGCCACAGTATCTGTGAGTTCATGTGTGTATGGGTCCTGCTTTTTTAGAAGGCCTTGTTTTCTTTTTGTTCCACATCCCTTTTGCATTTTGCAATCTTCTCATCTCCTCTTCCACAGGGTTGCTATTTTCTTTAATGATTTTTATCAAGTGTAAACAGAAGCTCTTTAATGAGGGGTGGAAACTACACTTATTTGTGGATATAAAGAAAAATATTTGTAATGCAGTAGAGACTGTACTGGTTTAGGGAACTTGCAGTAGCTGGTTCTCCTCTACCTTCCATGGGCTCCTCAGTCATGGATAACTGGCTAAATTTATAATGCCGAGCAAGAATTCCTTTCTATTGATTCCTAAGTCGTGAGACGTGACTCTTGGCTACCCCTGAGATATTAGTGCCATTATTGTACCTTTGAGAATATCTTGTCATACTAGTGAATGTTATGGCTCATTGATGTTACAGCTGTCTATGATTATTTGCTTGTTTTTGATCTGTTGGCAGCTTGCATGTTTGGTCCCTTCTGAAACTACAATTGTTTGTCCTTACTGAGGAGGCCTCCAGTTCAATTCTAGATGGATTCCTCTAAATACTGAGTATAAATTGTTTTATATTTTTATCAACTGAATTTTACCTTTTTTCTTGGAGGATACTAAGGCATTGGCTGTAGCATACATTGTTTTGGGGGTCCTTTTGATGTCCTTAATCAGAAACTTGAATGGAAGTTTCTGAGGCCTGGTACTGGGTTTTTAGATAGTCAAGGCTTTTGTGGAGAGCATTGCCACCCCTATTTGTGTAACTTTAATCACTCCCACCACTTAGATATAGTCCAAAGTCCATGTAATATCAACAAGTGTATTCATAAGAATTAGAGGATGTTACGAGTAGTTTTTCCCCGCCGCCGGTCCCACCGCCATGCCCCAATCAACACACGGAGAGACACTGTATTTGATATAATGTTGTTGGCCAGTTACTTGTTTCTTATCGGCTAGCTCTGTCTTAATTATTAACCCATTTCTATTAATCTAAGTATTTCCACGTGGTCTCATCCTACCGGAGATGGGCTGGTGTTGTGCTCTCTCCGGTCTCTACATGCTGACTCCTCCTTCCTCCTTCCTCGAATCCCCCTTGTCCCTAGTCCGGCCTATCTTGCTTTCCTATTGGCCCACAGTGCTTTATTCATTAACCAGTATAGGAAACATATTTACAGAATGACATCTCCCATTAAAAGGAAATTTTTAAAAACTCAAATTCTATTCTAATAATGTATCTGTGTGAAGCCAGATATTCTTCATATATTTCAACAAGAAAAACACAGTGACAGCTTGGAAAAACAATACTGAGTGATGTGGTCATCCCAGCACCTGACAGGTGAGGCAGGAGGATCAGCAGTTCAAAAATAGGGAGTTCGAGGCCAGTCTTACCTTTATAGGGTTGTCTTAAGGTTCAAATCTTGGTGATTTGAACTAGTCATTTAATTCTTTGCCTTGTTTTTTCTTTGTGTGTGTGTGGGCTTCTGTGCTTGGCTCCAGAGTCTATGCTCTTTGATTGCTATACTGTACTGTATTTTGAAAAGGCAGTGAAGTAAGGTTAAGGAAATTGATAGGGAAATCAACAAATGGTGTTCACATAACTAGATAGCAACATGTAGATAACAAAACTAGATCCCCATTTCTCATCTTGCCATCTTCAAATAAAAACAAAACAAAACGACAAAAGAAATCTTCAACTAAAAACAGAACAAAACAACAAAAGAAAAAGAAAGAAAGAAAAGAAAAAAGACCTCATCCACTTGCCTGCGAATTTCGAGTTTCCATTGTGTTTTTCTGCAGAGTAGTATTCCATTGTGTAACTGTACCACATTTAATGTATCTATTCTTCAGTGGAGGGGCATCTAGGTTGCTTCCAGATTCTTGATGTTATGAATAATGCTGCTAAGAACATAGCTGAACAGATGAAATGACTTCATTCTTAACAAAGAAAAAATAGCAATATAGAAAACTTTTTTTGTTAAGATGATAGATTTTTGTTATCAGCATTCTCACACTTTTCTTCCTTGTACCCCACACATAATCCATTAAAATATACAAACAACAAAGATTGTGCTCGCTCAGCCTAATTTGCGATCATTTAAAATTATAAATGATGTGATAGTGTTTTTTTATGTTTGCAATTAGGGGGCAGAGGGATGGCTCAGCAGTTACGTGAACTCTCTGTTCTTGAAGAGGATCTGAGTTTATTTTCAAGCACCCACGTGGTGGCTCATAACAATTTATAACTCTGATTCCAGGGAATCCCATGTCTTCTTCTAGCCTCTGCCATATGGCAAGCACAAGGTGCACATACATATAAGCAAAATACTCAAACACTTATAAACAAATATTTATATTTGGAGTTATTACTAATTCTACTTCATTTTTCATTTTCAGATATGCTTAAAGGGTAAAGTACACATATTTAAGTACTTAAATATACAAGCATGTTGTAGAATGGATAAGAAACCAGATTCTCTGGATCTTCCATCACTGAATAAAAGAATGCCTTCCCAGCCTCTCACAGACAGGTAATGTAAATAGTCTTAGAGCTTCACTTGATGACTGTCCATTGTTGTTACAAAATAAATTTATCACTCTTGGGTATACTGAACTGATTTTGCCAGATTAAACCAGTGTTGAAGAAAATGTATTTGAGTGAACGTCATTGGTCATTGAATAACTTCTGGAATACTGGACTAAATGAGAGAGTTTTTATAGACAGCATTATTTTAGCAGAGACAATGCATATGCTTTGTAGTATAGTAAAAGCATTGGTTTCCCTACTGTGACAGCTTTTAGCCTACATTTTGATCACTGCTTTAATACTTGCAAGTACAAATTGACTTTGAACTGAAGTGAATGGAAGAGGAAGACATTTTGGAGGTGCCTTTCTTTCTTTTTTTTTCCTTAATTTTCTTTTCTTTTTCTGATGTTGAGTCTTTAATCTAAACAAGTGCTCTATCACTGAATTACAACTCCAGCCCTTTGTTTATGTGTGTTCTCTTTCTTTTTGTATAATTGTTTGTTGCATGCAGAGCCTGTTGTGTACTAGATAAGGGCTCTACCATTCAGCTGTAACTAACTCCTGGTTTAAAATGATGTATCTTTGATATTGTTTGATTGCTATGTCCTCTTTAGGACATTTTGGTATGGTGGATATGTTATTCTTTTTGAATTCAAATCTTCAAGATGTTGATTTGTCTGAAAGGCTTTTTGAAAATATAATTCCATCCAGAAATATAGAAAATAACTTGGAATGGGGTAAGACTACAGAAAGGGAGACTATGACCACCTACAAGATTTAAAGGTTTGTCTTTGATTTATAAGATAAATTTTTTAGGTCATTTTGGATGTGTTTGTAGTAAGTACTGTTGTTAACATGCAGTCTTGAGTTCCCAAATAGGACTTTCTCATGAATATTCTCTCGGTTTTATAAAATATTTAAGTATTTTATTTAGTTCCTAAGGTGATTTTTTTAGTAGTAAAGCAACATTAGAGTTCTATTAAAGTTACAATTAATATCTATAGTAATCTCAATTAATATGCTTTCTATTTTTGGGAAGTGAAATTAGTAATGGTACTCATTGTTTTCAGTCATTTTAGATATACATGGCTGTAGATTGCCTACTGTTTGATTCATGACATAGTTTTTTGAATGCTTTACATGTTTATTTTGGCAACTACTGGAACTCACAGTCTAGGTGGAACAAGAAACCAAGAAGATTTCAATCCATTTGGCACTGGTATAAAAGAATACCTGAGAAGACATAATTTTAAGTAGTAGAATTTTTTTCTTTTTTGGTTTTTGGAGACTGGGTTCTCTGTGTACCTTTTTACACCAGCTTGAATTTATAGAGATCTGCCTGACTCTGCCTCCTTGGTGCTAAATAGTAGAAATTTTTATGGCTAGTAGTTTTGGAAACTGATTAAGTCCAATATATGAGGGGTACATTCATTGAGGGCCCTATTACGGCACCACCAAATGTCAAAAGGTAACAGATAAGAAAAAGAAGCAAGAGATGTGAACAGGATGTCAAATTTACTCCTGTAACAAATCTATTTCCAGGACAAAACTAACTCTTACAGTAGATGTTAATCTCTTCAAAGACTAAGCTCGTACCATCTAAACCCCTACATGACTGCACAGGCCAATGCTTTTGCATTGGGAATTAAGTTTATAACACATTCAGACTATAACATTTACAAGCACACACACACACACACACACACACACACACACACACACATACACACACACACAGCGTCATACATGATGGCTGGCATATCATGGGTCATGTTGAAATTTTTCAAGTTTTCATGGTGCTTAAGTTACATGCTGTCAGTGGAAACCATACTTCATTTTTGAATTTTCATCTTTTCTGGCTTTGTCGATGCATAGTGTGAGCATGCCCTTGTGCTGCTGGGCAATGACAATGAGCTGTTGTTGGATCACAAGGATAGACTAGCAATGCTCCACAGTGGGCTGCGTGTTTCTAAAATGTGATGTTCATGATGCATGGTAAATGCATTTTTATTTTAACTATTTTCAACTTACAATGAATTTATTGGAAAATTTTTACATGTATTAAAATTCATAATTGTGACACACACTTTGAAAGAAGTATTTCTCGTTGTATTCCAAGACTTTAGTTAAGGAGTATCTCTTTGGGAAGGTGAAGTCTTTTAGCTCTGGAATTCTGTCTGGAATTTACTATATAGATCAGCACCGTCTGGTACCTCTGCCTATGTCTTCCTCTTGCCTGTCTGTCTTCTAGGTTACAGGCTTGTACCACCAGGCCTACCACCATGCATTATGGGAAGGTTAAGTTTTAATTCAAGAGCTGATCTAAGGCAATCCAGTTGTGTGAATAGGGGGGAGGGGTGGAGAGAATGTCAGAAAGGGTATCAACTGCTGGTGCTACATGCCTGTAACTCCAGAAATGAGGAGGGTGAAGCAGGAACATGGAAAGTTTCAAGTGAGCTTGGGCTACATCACAGCAAGTTCAAGGCAGGTGGGGTTAAGATGACACCCTGTCTCACAGAAAGGAAAAACAGAGAGAGAAAAAAAGCCTCAGGTCATGAAGCTCTTGGTGAATTATGACATAGTGCTAAAATCAAGGACTGTCAGGCTAGGTAAAACCTGAGCGTCATATTTAAAATAACATGAAAATTATATAGGTAAATTACCATACTTTGCCTGCCTGTAAAATAGGAAAACACCAACCGTTTTTAATTGGACCTTTGCATGAACTATATACAACATTTTCCTGAAAACACCAAGCTCAGTACTTATCACATACTAGGTAGTTATTGCACAGTGTGCAATGAACACTTTGCTATCTGGATGGCATAATTTGCAAGTTACAAATGATTAAGGACGGCTCCAGTCTCACAGAAAACCAGTTCTATATTCAGCACTTTGCAGACAGTGTGTACGTGTGTGTTCACACTTAATTATTAAGTGGACTAACATTTGTTAGTCTTCACTCTGGAAGTGGTAATAGAGAGAAGCAATTGTCTGCAATGGAAGTGAGTCTTTTCTCTTGCTGAGTGGTTTTTCCACTTCATACAGCTTTGAAATGGAGGCACTTGTACGTATTTGTCATTGTACATATTATTTATATCTAACACGTATTTTAACAGCCAGCAAGAGGGAAATTGTGTAATGTTAAAAAATACCCAAAGCACTGAATAAATGTCTTTACCAAAATGATTCTGGTAAGGCAGTCTATTTTTCTTTCTTTTCTTTACAATTTTTCAGGAGAATTACTCTTATCAGCAGCCACATAACAGGGACCATAAAAGAAAAATAGTGCATAAATGACATGAGTAAAATATGTTATAGGAAATCGACTGTTATTTCCTCCTTTACGAATGTTAGACATGGAAAGTATGCATTTAGCATTGTCTAGGGTGTTTTAGCTCAAGTGTGCATTGTGGATTTATGAGCAAAATTCTGACTGCTATTAGGATTTCTCTTTCTGTAGTATGGAAGATTTTTATCCAAATAAAAATCATGGCCCTGACTCTGGAATTGGAAGTGATAATGGAGAGAAGCGATTGTCTACAACGGAAGTGAGTTTCTTCTGTTGCTGATCCATGCTGTTTTGCTATTTCTTAGAGCTTTGAAAAAGAGGCACATTGCCTTTTAATTTTGCATGCAGCTATAATTTTTGTTATATTTTATGACTTCAAAGGAGGGTCTACTGATTTTAAAAAGCAGAACATTCATCACAACATGGATTTTTGGTTGGAAATATGGAAATGGAAATCAGATATTGTATAATTCCCTATTAATCAAAGAAGCATAAATTTTGTCATGTGTTTTGAATGCCTCTTCTATACTGTATGCTTGTTCCTTTCAGCCATCAGATGATGACACAATCAGCCTTCATTCTCAAGTCTCAGAATCGAATAGAGAGCAAACATCAAGAAATGACAGTCATGTAATAGGAAACAAGCCTGATTCTCAGAAAGGTAATTTATGTGATATCTGCTAGCTCTGTTTAATGTACACAGCCCATATTGATGCTGAGATTTTAATTTAAAATGGACTTTGAAAAACTAAAATATTTTTAGATTTATATTAAGAAAACTAAACTTTTATCTTAATTGCTAAAGTATTAGAACATTTATTATATTTTATGATATTAATCTGAACCTAGACCAGGAAGTGTATGATTTTATTGATCCCAACACAGAAGATGTAGCAGTTCCTGAACAAGGAGATACACATATTGGATCATTTGTCTCTTTCCTTAAGGTAAACAAAACTGAAAAAACATTAATAATATTCACTTCTTCCTGATCATACAAATGTAAACCATGCAATTTAAAATGATAACTTTCCTTTTTACAAGGGGAAAGAAAAGTGCTCTGAAAAATCTCAGAAAAATGAAGAACTGGGAAATGAAAAAAAGTAAGTATACTAATTCTCAAAATGGTATTTATGACTTTTTGGACTATTCACTATATATTCCTACTTGATAGCACTTGATAGAATGTGTTTCATATGCTCGCCCTCCCCCCATATTATGTTTAGGTAGTCAACTTTCAAGTACTTTGAATTTCTTAATTAAATTCATAATTGTCATGGATATTTACTTTTCCCCTGAAGTTGCATAATATGTGCATTATTTTGTTACCAAAGAGGACTGTGTCTTCATGAATAGTGCTTCATTTGCATTCTTTAACAACTCTTTCATATAAATGCCATCAGCACCATTTTGTCAGTAAAGAATCTTGAGACCTTGAGTTCGGAATTTCTGCAACTTGGGCTTTGGGTGTCTTAACATACTTTCTACTTGGTTGGCTAGTTATGGAAATGTTAAGGTAGTTATCTCCATGTTTTATTACAGTAACTGAGATTTGTATCTTTTCTTTATACTTCATCTCACAAAACGATGGAGTCATCCTTTTAGGTTGCTTTTATGCTTTATGGACCACATACTAGGACCAATACTGTGTGATTTTCCATGTTTATCATTGACTATAGAGCCTTCAGCATGCTATACACGTGTTCTGTCACTGAGCTATAGCCTAAGTCCTGCTTTTTAAATTAATGAGGTTTTAGGCAGTTTTGCACATGCACACGAGGCATTCCCATCCCCCTTCTCACTATGACCTTGTTATCTCTACTTTCTGTACATCTTTCTCTCATGCTGTCTTTTCGTTTTGTTTTCGGGCCCACTGAGATTAACCAGGGCTGTCTGTGTTAACCAATGGTTTACAAATATCCCTTGGAACCTTCCAGCTGAGCAGTGGATATACAACTAAGCACACTGGTTCACCCTGTCCCAGAGTGTATCAATAGCCAGTATTTCAGAATTGATGGATAGAGCTCTGTGAATTGCACATTTCCTTGACTTTGCTGATGGGCCCTGTCTTGTGTTGGCCAAATGAAGCTAACTGTTTCCTTTTGTAAAGTAACTACTGGATTGTTAAACAATGTATAAAGCAGTAGTTCTCAACATGTGGGTCATGACCCCTTTGGCATACCCGTCTCCAATAATATTTACATTACAATTCACTAGCAAAATTACAGTTATGAAGTAGCAACGTAAATAATTTTATGGTGTGGGCTACCACAACATGCAGAACTGTGTTAAAAGTTTGCAGCATTAGGAAGGTTGAGAACCACTGCTCTAGAGAATGTCATTTCACAGCCCTACACCCAACATTTGACTTTTTCCTTTGCATCTTGTATAATGTTCTCAGAGCCTTAAAAGTGGTGATAAAATGCCTTGTTTGTGGCTACAGTCCTCTTTTTACTTTGTATTTTGGACAGGGCTTTGCTACATTGCCAAGGCTAACCTTGAACTCATTCTGTAGCCCTGAGCTGCCTTGAACTTGTGATTGGCTAGCCTTAGGCTTCACGGTAGCTGAGATTACAGACCTGTGGCAGCATTTTGCTATACTCCTTAGTTTTCATTTTTCTATTTCTTACCTCATCAAATGAGAAGGGTTGCCTAAGTTTGAGCATCACCAGTGTCTGTAAGATATGATAACAGTGCAATATTGTTATTTTTATTATTGTTATTTATGGTTCTTGTTATTAAGTGAGGCGCTTTTGACATAAAATTGTTAGTATTTGGAGAATAAATTATTTTTAATTCAGCTTTTAATGTTAGAATATATTTTAAAAATTTTTGGAAATTTTGAAAATCTCATTTGAACCTTTTTACCATTCCCCCCTTTAAAACTATTTTCTTTGTTTTACAAATAGATTTTTTTTTTAAAAAAAAAACCAAGACAAATACATTTTTATAAGCAGTGTGGTAAAATAAAATGTTGATGTTAGTTTTTCTTTCTTTCTAGAAATAGGCCATATGGAGGAGCTTCGCAGTCCTGCTTCAGTTTCATTTTACATCTTTCGTTTATTTTACATAGCATTCACAATTCCCCCTCCCTTCCCTCCTTCCACTCCTTTCTTCTTCCCCCACCCCACCCCCTCACCCCACTGCCAGCCATCCACTCCTCAGAAAGGGTAAGGCCTCCCATGGGGAGTCAACAAAGCTTGGCATATCAAGTTGAGGCAGGATCTCCCCCCCCCAAGGCATTCCATAAGAGGGAATGGGTTCCAAAATGCCAACACCAGGGATAGATCCTAGTCCCACTGTTGGGACAAACAGACCAAGCCACATAACTGTTAGTTATCCACATGTAGAGGGCCTAGTTCGGGTCTATGCAGGTTCTCTAGCTGTCCATAGTTCATGAACTCCCATGAGCTCAGGTCAGCTGTCTCGGTGGGTTTCCCATCATGAGCTTGACACCCTTACTCCTGTAATCCCTCCTACCTGTCTTCAACTGAACTCCTGGAGCTTGGCCCAGTGCATGGCTGTAGATCTTTGCATCTGCTTTGATCAGTTACTGGCTGAAGGAACTATGATAGTAATTAGTGTAGTCATCAGTCTGATTACAGGGAAAATCCAGTTCTGGTTCCTTCTCCACTAGTGCTTAGACTCTTAGCTGGGGTCATCCTTGTGGATTCCCGGGAATTTCCCTAGCACCAGGTTTCTCCCTAACCCAATAATGGCTCCCTCTATCAAGATATTTCACTCATTACTCTCCATCTCTGTCCCTCTCCCAACTCAACTATCCTGTTTCCCATGTTCTCAGGGCTCAGTACTTAGAAGCACTGGCTGCTCTTCCAGAGGACCCTGGTTCACTTCACAGAACCCACATGGCATCTCACAGCTGTCTAATTTCAGTTCTAGGGAACCTGACATCCTCACATAGACATACATGCAGTCAAAAAACACAGATAATCTTTTTTACACTCAAGGCTGAGAGCTGTGTGCATTGTTAACTTGTGACCATTGTACATTTCAGAAAATTTTAAAACTTTATACTTCAGCATCACTTGTTAGCTGTAGTTATATTGAACAGAAAATGCAGATGTATTTTCCTAAACGTTCTTTATTTTCCACTTTAATATTTTAAATGCAAAGGCATAAGGATTTTAACTCACATGGAATTAAAGATGACAAGTTTCCATATCTAGATGTTGGCAAAGACAGTTGGCTTTACTTTTTGAATAACTGTGTTTGTTTCAGACTTGACAAAGAACAGTTACTTCCAGAAGAAGAAGATGATGATTTGAAAGAAGTAACTGATTTGAGGAAGATAGCTGCTCAGTTATTGAAGCAGGAACAGAAGAACAGGTATTCTCTCAGTAACGAGATTTGAACAGGCAAATTTTGTAATCAGTAAAAGATTATTAATTTAAGGAAACGAAGCTGCAAGTAAACATTAGGTGGCTTTAAATATACATATTCAAGAGGATAACTGTTAAGACACAGAAAATACTTAGAGGAGAAATATGAAATTGCATATGTAGCTAACAAACTGTGCATATTGGCACTGTCTATCTTTGTGGTGCTGGTGATCAAACTCTGGGCTTCATCCATGCTAGGCGAAATCTGCCCTTGTGCTTCACACCAGCCTTAGTTAATGTGCTTAAAATTTTACTTCTGTGCTAAATCATAATAACCGCTTTATTGGACCTTATTCACTTTTAGCTCACAATAGCATCATTTGCAGTATAAGCACTTCTTTCTGAGTATGTATTATACTAGTAAAGTTTATTAGATTTTTCAGATTCTCAGTTATTTGGGGGTATATAGCTTCCCTAAAATTGAAGTGAATTATATAATTGTTTCTTAAACTAGTCTGAAGATTTGAGTATCCCAAGTTCATAATTGTCAGTTTCTGGGGTTAACAACTCCTCTACCATTCAGCTTTCTCCAAATGCATATCTTTGCCAGCATGACATGAGCACGAGTATAGAGTCAAGTTAAGTTCATTTAAAATTTGTTTGTGTGCGGACTGTAAGAATGTGTGTGTGAAGAGCCATGGGTGTACTCATGGAGGTCAGAGGACAATGTCAGGGGTCTTCCTCATTTACTTTTCACAATGAATTTGAAACAGAGCCTCCCACTAAACCTAGAACTCACTGGTTGGCTAGACTTGCTGACTATTGAGTCTCCAGGAACAACCACCCTCAGCAGACCAGGTTTTCAGATGCATGCAGCAATCCCTGTATTTTAACTGGGGTGCCGAAAATCTGAATGCAAGTCCTTATGCTTGCGTAGCAGACACTTTGCCCGCTGAGCCCAAAGCCCATTTTTAGTAGAAGAAATGGACCACATGCTACTCTCACTGCCATTTTTGATGAGAATCTTACATTTATAATTTTGAAATAGACTGAATATTTTTTCTTTTACATGAAAAATTAATAGGGCAATTTTGGCATATTTAGGATGAGTAAGTAGTATTTCATTTCACATACTGAAAATAAATGTCTATGATTAACATGGTGACATGTTTTGAGAAGTTTCATATTTAATTATATTGGCATTTGTTTTAAAAGTATCATTAAAATAGCATCTGGCAGCTGGATTGATGGATGGTTCATGAGTTAGGAGCCCTTTTTGCTTTTCCAGAGGATGGAGATTTTTTTCCCAGAACCAAATGTGGGTGGTTCCTGTAACTCTACCTCCAGGGTAGCTGACACTCTTTTTATTTTGGCCTCCACAAGAACCCACACATATGTGGCACACACTCACATGTACACATGCATATACTTTAAAAAATGCTTCCCATCTGGGTATGGTGGGGCTTGCCTCCAATTCTGGATTTTAGGAGGCTTAGGGTCATGAGATGGATAGTCAGCCTGCTCTGTATAAAACTAAGTCTCATGTCACAAAGTCAAGCCTGAAAAGACCTAGCCAATGTGGGCCGGGTGTATAATTCAGTGGCAGAACTATTGCCCAGCATGTATGGGAGTCTGCCTGGGTTGCGTTTCCAGTACCACAAAACAAAACACAGACAGTGCTGGTGAGATGACTCATAAAGGTGCTTGCTGACAAGTCTGACAGCTTGAGTTTGATCCCTGGTACCCATGTGGTAGAAGAAGAGAACCAACTCCTACAAGGTGTCTTCTGAGTTTCACACAAAACTTGAAGCATGCAAGTGTACAAAGACAGGCGTGCACACACAAAATAAATACATATGTAAAGCCCCAAAGAAAAAACAAGAAAGCTTATCAAATGAGGATCTGCTTTTAGGGACAAACTGGTCAATAGATAATATGATAAATAGCCTTCTAATACCAACTTTTTTGCACAGCTACTACAGTTTCTCTTAAAAATGTCATACTAGAAAATATCAATTATCTGTCTATATAATTTCTTTATCTAATGAATTCTCATTCTCTTTCCTTTTTCTCTGGTGTCACTGCTTTATATAAATGTTTCCATGTTTGTCATTTAATATTTTCTACCACTTCATTTCTAACATGCCATCTTATAATAACTTAATTTTGAGATTATAATGTGATTATGTAATATCAACCTTCATCTTTCTCCCTCCACACTATCCCACATAGCTCTACACTTTACTTTTTCAAATTCATGGACTTTTAAAAAAATTTTTGTCATATGTATGTATGTATACATATGTGTATGTTTTACATATGTATTATATATATATATATATATATATATATATATACATATATATATATGTACATACAACCTGCTCAGTCTATGTTACTTGTATGCATGTTTTAAGGGCTGACCATTTGATATTGGATAACCAATTGGTATACTCTAATATGCTTTTTTCAAACTGGTTACAATAAGGTTATATGTCATCTACGTATTTATTTCCTGTTGAGGTTTAATTTCATGATGCATACTAGTACCAGCTCTTGGAAGTTAAAAAATACTTGAGATCGTGTTCCTTTATTTAGCAAAGTTATATTTATTTTTCATTATGAGAAGAGAATAATGATATTTTTAAGACTCTAAAATATTTTCTATTTGTGAATTTAATTTTAGAATCATCCTTGCCATACATAATTTTCCTATATTGCCATATCTACTATTATTATATTAATTTTTATCTATCTATGCTTCTTAAATTATTCTTTGAAGCTTAGGTTAAATGTTATCTGTGTAGGCCATCTTTTATAGGGTTTGCTTTGGCAATCCCTTTGTAACTACTACAAAATGGTGCCTTGCATTGTACCTTCTACATAATAACACAGAGGACCTAGTGTTATACTATTGTTTTTTAATTGAATTCTTGAAACATGTCAAATTTAAAGTTAATGAAAGTCATCAGTTCAGCTGAAATTTTTGTATTTTCCATAAAACATTTCTTTTATTCTTCAAGATATTTGCAAAGCTAATTTTGTCTTTATCTGATTTTCTTATGTGTTACCAAATAATAATATAAGAACTATTTAGGTTAAGTATTACTATGTACTGACTTGTTTAATGTTTGAAGGCATTATGTATGATTGAGGCAGTCATTCTTTTAGTCTTAATTATAATGAAAATAACCAGCCTTGTAGTCCTTAAAAAAATGGTAATTTTTTTCTCATAATACAAAATGTAACTCTTACCTGCTACCTAAAGGAGAAATAAATTTACTTTTTGAAAGTTCTATGAAGGCGATGTAGAATGTATATGCTAGGTTTTAATACAATTATTATAGTTTTTTCCCTCTTTTGTTTATTGCTGTTCCCATTTAAAAGCAATTTATATAGTATAAGATTAATCCCAAGTACCAGAAAATGTCCCTCCCCAACAAGGACTTCTACCTTGACTCTATACTGAACTGTTCTTTTGCTATCACTGTTTGAAAATAAACATATTTTTATGTCTAGTCTAAAAGAAGTGATGATCTTACTCTCAAATTAGGGTTGCCCATGTTGAGTTCAGTAATGACTTTGTCATAGCTGTTTTGCCACTTGGTTAGCTTTTATTTGGCTAGTGAGTAAGGTCTATCTTTGATTCAATAAGGAAGTTTGTGTTTTGATTTGGTGAATGATGTTGTCCTAGGAAAGTAACAGAAGACAAACTTAATAATCAAAAGCATCAGGGAAAGTGGTCAGTGAATAATGCATAGTGTAGCTAACTCAAAAGGTTTCAGATTATGTAGACAAATTGCTTATAATGCAGCCCTTATTTCTGTGATGTACAGGGTAGGCTTCTGTGAAGCTAACACAGGTGGCTGTTTTCTAACATTCTGGGGGCAGTTCTTAGAGGATGTCTTGAGCCCAGGGGTTGTGGACCATATCGCTATATAGAATACGGCTGAGAGGATAGAAACTCATACTCTCCAAGGAGAAATTTAAATGAAAAGAAAATTATTAAAAATTAGTATCTTAAAAATTTTGATAGATAAAATAATTTTGTATATTTCTATTTGTAACATTGTGCCTATAGCTAACCATGTACATCACATATGAATATGACTCCAGAGTAGATTTCATGTTAATTTTTTAATTTAAAATTTTGTATATATTATGGGGATCATTCTCAGACCTCATGCATACAACAAAATTTGATTTAGAAAAAGGTAGGTTTTTCTGAATTAGGAATAAAATTGAAAAAGGAGAATAAAATGCTAATGTATATGTATGACTTATAATAAAAAGAATATGCTTAGTATTGACTTGAGAAAAATGAACGAAATTTTTCTAAAAGTATTTTAATGGTACTCTATAAATTAATGACCCATTTCCCCACATTTTAATCAGTTCTACTTATTTATGCTAGCAGTAGAAAAATTATTTCTATGGTTTGCCTTTACTGATTTTATGTGTCATGATAAGTGGGTGTTTAGCCAGCTTCTTAATATTTTGTTACTATCATAAAGTAAATATTATTGTATATATGAACTTTACAACAGTTTTAGCTAACTGATTGCCATCACATATTTAGTATGCTAACTTACTCTATACTATTTTAATATGTCTTATGTTTCCATAAGTGTTTTATTTGCTTTTAGGTATGTCCTGAGAGCTTTTCTTTATTATGGAAGAAATTGCTTCTGAATACTGTGTGACATAGATAGCTAACGAAAAAACAATTGTTAAAAGTTAAATAACTGAAGTATAACTAACGATCAAAGAAATTAAAAATATGTTTTGAGAAGTTTATGTATTGGGTTTAATAGTATAAAATGTATTATGACATGATTCCTGTGAGTTTTATCTAATCAGTATTTCAGCTTGAAGAAAGAGCATTGTGTTAACCTCTAGTTTGTGGTAACTACTTGGATAGTTCTTTTAACCCTTGAAACATAGCCATTCTTTCTTTTCTGTTTCCTTTACTAATGACTTCCTTGTCTTCTCCAAATACATCTCCCTTCTCTCATCTTTTGATTTGGTTGATATATGTGAAATGTGAATATAGATGGAGGCCTTTAAGTTATAGAACATCATTCAGTGACAAACTCTTCCAGAGGACCAGAGCAGCAGGACGGAAATCAAGGTATCTAGAGTTGGTGGAAGCCATAAGTATTAAGGGGCCAGGCTTATGTAGCTGTACTGTGTTAGCATTTTGCTTAAAATAAGTACTGGGAACTGTGTTAGGGAAACATATTAATAATGTCAAACAGACATATAGATAAAATAGACATTTAGTTTTTCTGTATCACAGAGTGAAAAAATAAAATATCAACGCATATCCCAGAATTCTACATAGTTGAATTTTCAAATACATAATACATATTTTACATGCAATTTGGCTTGAACTGTTTTTCTTTCTACTGTAGTGTGATACATTTATCATACTAGTAAATGGGGTGTGAAGAGGATTAACTTTTATCTTGGCAAAGGTCATAATCATTTGACCAGTTACCCCTAACAACAATTCTGACATTTCTTGCTAACTAGTACTTATTGTCACTTCTCTTTCTTTTATTTTGTAAAAATCTCCTTTTAAAGTCTATTTTTCTTTGTTATTTCATGGCCATAATTTTGCATTTTTGGGTCTGAGGAAATTTTAGCACATGTTCAACAGGAAAAAATTTAAATGTACTTAGTTCTATGGTTGTTTGGCCCAGAAATACAGTGATTTGTGTCAACACTTGACCTTTTGACTGCATCTACTTAGTGAGGCAATGCTCAGAGCCAAGCTAGTGAAGAAAAGCCTGGCACCAAGTGACTGTTCTATACTCACTATAGAGCTGTAATTACCAATGTGTCTCTAGTGCCTATGCAACTCATTTCAGGTCTTTTCTATAGTCTTTAGATTGATGATGGACATTTTATTCATTGTAATACCATTTGTGAAATTAAGTTAAATTTGTATGTATAATAATGATTTGTGAACATGTACAATTATCTAATTTACCACTTTTGACATTGAGACAAAGAATTAGATAAAGCCGTGAAGAAATAGAAATAGTTTTCTTTCATAGAGAATCATTATTTTTGTTCTAATACTCCATCCTATTGAAGGTTTAAGAATGTTTTGATTTTTTAAAAAACGACTTGACCTTACCACTGATTTTTGCATTTACAATTAAAGTTTATTTTTTGGCTTTTTTTCCCCAAAATGATTATGAAGCACCAATGTAACTTCTGTCATTTTCTGTCCTGGGAAAAAGGAAATGACTCAAAATGGTGCCTAAAATATTTCATTATGTTCTGTGTAATCAGAATTAGATATACACAGAGTAATCATGCAATGGCTAGAAAATATTCAAACTTGGAGAATTGTTTCTAAAACAAGATGCACAACACATTTTGTGAACTTCATTTATAAATAATGTTCTGAATAGTCTAAATAGTACTGAAATATTTTCTAGCAAAGATATTCATGACCTAGATACAGTTTACTTAGGACATATATATCATATATGTGCAATGTTCTCTTCAGTATAGTTTGTAATTAATGTGTTGATTTACTTCTAGGATTCTTAATCATTCAACTTCTGTCATGAGAAATAAGCTGAAACAAACTGTGGAATGTGAAAAGAGGTATAAACATATCATAGTCCTTATATTTGGTATTTTAAAACAAGACTTGATACTCTTATAGTAACTTTCCTCAAAAGGTGTTAACTGGATATGTGATGCAATGTCATATAGGTAAATAGTTTAAATATTAAATATGTCACAATATGATTTCAAATGAGTTATAGGTAAATAGTTTAAATATTAAATATGTCACAATATGATTTCAAATGAGTTATCTGTAAACAAATGCTCTGATTCTGATTCTTTTTTGTTTATACTAGTGGTTTGTCTTGATTCATTCACAAATATTTATCTTATTGACATTAAGATCTAGAATAATGTGTTGCTTCATCATTGGTTATGGTTATTCTTTGTATTTTAGTTTTTTTTGATTGGGGTTTACTAAACTATTTGTTTAATAACCTAGTTTACAGATATGAATTTCAGAGAAATAGAAGATATGAAAATTTCTATTTATTGTTTTTCATGGTTTTAAATTTATGTTTTACCCAATTCCTGGGTCAAACCTTGAGTAATCTAAATTTTCAAAGATAGGGGCACAAAGGTATACACTGAATGATCATTTGTTGGATGCTGGATATATGAGCACTGTTCTTAGCTCTGTAAAGGAATGTCTTACTCAGTCATCACAATAAAATTGTGACGTTGTTACTGTTGCTATGCTCATTTTACATACTAGCAAACTGAAACTCAGAAATTATCATAGCTAGCTCAAGATAACACTGTAAGTGGGAGAGTCATGATTCAAACTCAGGTCCATCTTATTGGAGAACCTATAGTCTTAATGTACAGTAACAAGAAGTTTATTTCTTTACTTCTGATCCTCACATTTCACTGAATGTACTTCCATAGATAGTGCAGATTTGTGTCTCCAAATGCACCTCTTTTTCTGGATCATCTACATTAGTGAATGTGCAGCTACTTATGTAGTCTTCCAAGTCAGCAACTTTGGAAACATTTTACTGTGTGTGTGTGTGTGTGTGTGTGTGTGTGTGTGTGTGTGTGTGTGTGTGATTTTATTTCCTTCCTCCTAATATAGTCAACCTTGTAAAATTAGTATCACCTTAACCCTCTTTCCATTACTATATTAGCTGTATTGGTTTAGCTTCCATTATTTTCCGTTTGAGTTACTGTGATGGTCTCCACACATAACTCCTTTCTTCTCTGTATTATTAAAGATTAGAGGTTGTAAAACTTAAATCTGACAATTCAAACACTGTTTCTTATTTTCTAATGAATATTTAAACCTTTTTTGATAAAAGGTAAAATGTTTGATTAACCATAAAGTTGAAATGGGCTCCAGTCTCAGATCAGAGTCTCATCTTTGCACTCTCTAGAGGACAGCCTTTCAGTTTCGGAGCATAATTCTTATTTATTTCAGCATGATTTCCTATTTCTATATTCTAGATCTTGATCCCTCATTCATGTTTCCCACGTTTCTTCCTTTCTGTGCATGATCTCTTAGAATTCAGCTCAGTTCTGCATGGTCGTGGTGAGGGCTTCTTTGTAGATAGCATCACAGTGGTGGGAGCATGTATGGACGAGGTCACACAGGAAATTATGAAGCTGGAGAGATATAATAATTAAGGTCACTTTTAGTTTTTTATGTAATTCTCATCAGAACAACTGGAGCTCCTAGAAAACTACATTAATTCCTTCCAAAGACAGGCTTTCCAATGAGCATATTGTGTTATACTAAGCTCTACTCCTACAGATTTCACCACGTCTAACTATGAGCTTCAAGCTCTTAATAATTATGAACCTTGTGGGGAACACACTGTTTTCAAGGTATAGCATACCCTTTTTGATATGTGCATATGAATTTTTGCATTTGTTTATATGTGTAGGTGTGTGCATCAGTATATACAACAGTATATATATATATATACATATATATATATATGACTATGCATTGCTACATGGCACAGTATTTATATTATTTATATACAAGTGTGCATCAATATATTATTACAGTGATGTTTCACATGTAAATTGCATGTCTATATCTATATCTATATGTTGTACATTGATATATACACAGCATGGTAGAATTTGTTGTCTACATGCCATTGCCACTTAGATGTAGAATAGGAATGTCTGATTTCCAGAAGTCTTACTTGTGCTCAGATTTTGTTGCACACTCAATGTGCTTCTTCTGGATTTTTCCCCATTTCAAAAAGTGCTGATTCCATTCTTATTGAATGGCTGGAAAAACTTCACCCTCACTTGGTCGTTCCCTCTTAAACCCCTTATCTAATCCATTGCCAAATCATGTCGGTTAGTGGGACTATTTCCAGAACCTGATCACATCTTACCAACTCCACTTGTGCCACCCTTGCCCTCTACACACCCAGCTGTGCACAGGCATAAGCTGGCAAATACTACTTTGTTCCTGAAAAAAATTAGGAGTGTATTTGAATAGAAACTGTCCAAGTTTTGATAGTTATTAGGAAAGTAGAATGATATCCCATTGTTCAGAGAGGGCTCCATATGTAGTTCAGTGTGTGTGTGTGTGTGTGTGTGTGTGTGTTATAGATTGTTAGGTGATTGTTAGAGGTAGTGTGCATAGTATGGTGTGGGAAAGTTAAAGAGCTGGGCTGACTAGCACTTTATTAGAAAAGTTGTGCACGTTCTCTCTCCCCTCTGTGTATTTCTGTATATGTATATTTGTCTGTGTGTGTGTGTGTGTGCGCGTGAGTGCGCGTGGGTTTGTGTGTGCATAACCAAACCAGATAGAGTTCGCAGTTAGTATAGTATTATAGGTGCTTACCTGTTTCATTATTATACTATTATATATATTATATATGCACCCTTTGACTCCTAATTTGTTTTCCCACTTCTAAATGTAGAAACTGTCTGGACAGTGCCTTAATTCTTTCTCCCTGGTCTGTGGCATGGTAATGCTCTTCATGTAGCAATGTAGGCTAGGCATGACATTCATCATTCATTATCCATTTCTAGGATTCTTAACATTTAAAAGAAATTTATTTCATTGATAGATTTCTTTATTTGAAAAGAGATAAGAAATCTAGGCTTTTTGTCTTCCTCTCTACTCTTCCTCCTCTTTCTTGCCTATCCTCTTCTACTGTTTCTTTCTGTATTTTACAAGAACTCATTCAGTTGTTCATATATTACACGTTATATAATCTCTAATTTCTGTACCTTTAAATGCCATTTGTACCATAAATTGCTGCATTAAAAATGTTGTACTCTATCTTACATTGAAAAACATCTATAAATTCTGGAATTGTTGTTACTGTATTTTCATAGTATATATATTATTACTTCCTAGGAATAGGGATGTCCCTTGAATGCTACTAAATTTTAGTTATTTTCTCTTTTCTTGTTCTTCCTTCTCCTGTTCCTCCTCTCCATCCTCTGTCTTTCTGTTCGGAACAAGTTCTTACTCTGTGGCCCAGGCTCACCTGCACCTTACCTGTGTATTCAATCAGGTCCCCAATTCATACCTCAGCCTCATGAGTTCTAAGATGACCAGTTTGCGTCACCTCGCTCAGCTTTGGCCCCTCCTCCCCATCTCATTTAGGTTTTTAAACTTTTTTGAGTTTGTGTGTGTGTGTGTGTGTGTGTGTGTGTGTGTGTGTGTGTGTCTGTGTGAGTGGATGCCTCGTGTGTGGGTGCCCATGGATGCCAGGAGAGCATGTTGGATCCCTCAGGCTAGAAGAAGCATGTGCCAGTCTTGAACTCAGGTCCTTTGTAGCCCCTCTTATGTCACAACTGAAGCTTATAATCAGTAATCCAGTAGGGAATAATGTATTTGTTTTCAGAATTTTTTGACATTTAGATGAAGGAATTCCTATATTTATTTGCTTGTTTCTTTATCATGTGTGTGAGCATACATATGCACATGTGTGCCATGGCACAGGTGTGGATGTCAGAGGACAACTTTCAAGGATCCAGGGGTTTGGTTCTCCCCTTCTTACTATGTGAGTCTCATGGATCTAACTCAGGTTGTCAGGCTTGTTGGCAAGCTAGTACCTTTACATGTTCACTCACCTCACTGATACTATTATCTGACTTGTTTTAAAAGGGTAACTTTTTTCTGTAATAGTCTGTTTATTCCCTCTTTATTTGTACATATTATACTCCTTTTGACCTCTACAAAATAGGGTTGGCTTATGAAAACTGTCGATATAAAATAAACCCACTTTGGTGTTTCTTGTGGAGCAATAGTTAGTAGGCATTCACTGTTGGTTGGTTTCATCAACTTTAACTATACAATATTAGTAAGCCATGTGGTGGTTAATACCTGCCATTGTAGTCCTTGGGAGACTTATTACAGTACCAGGCCATCCAGAACTGCATAGCAAGACCCAGTCTTAACAGAACACTGCACAACATTACACAAAGCAACACAACAAAGGGAAACATACAGATATGGATAGTCTTTACATGGCTGCCTTTAAACAATGAAAAGACAAATTTGTCATCTATAAAGTATGTGAAAGGATTTAATAAATATTAAAGCGTCTTTAATTTTTTAGTGTCTCAGCAGATGAAGGGAATTCACCATTATCACCCCTTGCATGGCAGGTAAGAGGAAATAAAATTAATAACACGTGTACTATTTTGTTGTCATTTGTTCAGTGAAAAAATGACTTTTCTCATTAAAGCCATTAGAAAATCAGAAGGATCAAATAGAACAACAGTGGCCAGAATCTCAGCCTATAATCTGGCAAAACGAAGAAAGGAGACGGAGCAAGCAAATCAGAAAAGACTATTTCAAGGTACCTTATTAAATTTGACATTTTGTTTCATATTCATCCCTTTTTATTCTTAACAGGTTTTTCTTAAATTAGTAACATAGGACTCTTTAGTGAAATGTCACAGCTGTGCATGTTGATTGCCCTCAGGTGTAGGATAATGAATATGCTGTGTGACTATAGCCACAGAATGTCAGCTATTCAAATTAAGAGTAAATCGGCGTATATCATGCTTTTTCAAACAGTTGAAAGAAAGATCAATGTTTGTGTGTTATGCTGCAAATTGTGGCAATTAATTCTGTGGGGTTTTTTTGTTGTTGTTTTTGACGTAGGCTTTTACTATGTAGCCCAGGTTAGACTCAAATCACTATCCCCACACATCTGTCTCCCATATGCTGGGATTGCAGAAGTGGATGACCAGGCCTGGTTCAGAACAAGATTTTCATTGAATTTGTTTCAATAAATAGTTCAGAACTATTTTCAGTTAGCATTTAACCTTGTCTATGTAAATAAATAATTGAAAACTGGTCCATTTTCTTGTTATATTATTGTTATATTAGTAGTTTTCTTTACTACTTTTTTTTTTTTTAGACAGGGTCTCACTATGTAGGTTTGGCTGTCCTGGAACTCTCTATGTAGCCCTGGCTGGCCTAGAACTCACAGAGATCTTCCTGTCTCTAAGGTGTTGATCACTACATCTGATCAATAGATTTCTTAGAATGGTCTTTCAGTAAAGCTAAATTAAAACACTAGAGCGTGTGAATTACCCTAAATTTTTGTTACCTCATTATTTCAAGTCTGTTAAATTTGCAGGGAACTGTCATCAAATTTTAGAATAATTTTAAATAGTAATCTGCATTTATTCTTGGAATTGACTCAGATGTGCAATATAAACTTGGTCCTACACCCTGAATAGCAAATGTTATTGTCCCATACCTTCCCCACACCTCTTACCCATCAAATAACAACCATTTTTCTACATCTGTAGCACTCAGCTACATTACTTCAAGTTCTTGCCAGTAATAAAGAGGATTTCTTTTTTCATTTTGTGTTTGTCAGAAACTAGTCTCGCAATCTATATTTTTCTATTTCCATATCCTGGAAAGCAACATGTGATTGAAAGTGGCATATGATCAAAATGACAATTCTGTATGTCTTAGCAAATAATGCATTTTCCTTAAATGTTGAAGAAATAATTACTGATTTTTATAACCACTGGATTTTGAGTTAATTGGACAATATGAAAAAACACAGAGGAAGGAAAGGGGCAGGGCACTCCAATAAGACTCTTTGATCAGGACCCTTTGCAGCTCTGCAGTTACATTTATACCCTGGCATTTATCTTAGTTTCCTTTTTTAAGTCATGTAAACTTAAACCAGTTCACTGAATAAAAAACATGTTTATAAGTGAATCTTGATGAATGAGCTATAATGTAGTATTTCTAAGCAACAAGACATACTTGATAATTCTTTGATTTCTTTTATCCCAATATAATATAACCATATTGATTATATTTATCAAAACACTTGTATTGGAATTATTTAGTGCCAGACATGGTCATTAAACCTTTATAAATATTAGCCCATTTATTCATCAGGAAACTTCAGTAATGTCAATGCAGTTATCATTTCTATTTTATATACAGAGATATTAAGGCCCAGGACGCCAAGTAGCGTGCTAATCATATAGTTGAGATTAGAGTTCAGAGCTTTTACAATATGGCTTTTTTTTGTGTTGTGGATAGCTTGATTTAGAATGGACAAACACTAACATTAATATAGTTTTATTTTTTAAATATATTTTAATAATTCAAGTGAAATTAATGTAGGTGTTAGTGAGTCTTTACCACAGTCAACTGTTCCTTGGTTTAAAAGCATCTTTTGTTCATTGTTTTACTCTTTAGGGATTACATGATTCTAATGTGTCAATTATATTATATAGTTGCTAAATGATAAAATAGGATAATATATGAAATGACCATTATATAACCATCACTCAGTAAATGTTCATTTCTTTCAAATGTTGTAAAGTGAGTGTAATCATAGTCTTAAGTCATGGGGAAATGTTTTGAGGACATGTGTAGTTCTTCTCAATTGTCAGAAGATGTCAGTGTTAGGACAGTGCATAAAAATTGAGTATCAAATTATTCCTATGATGTCAGGAAAATGTATAATTGATTAGGACTGTAGCGTAGCTCATGTTGATCATCATCACAGAAAGAAAGATATAAAATGGAACTAATGGTACATTAGTCACAGCTATAAAATATAGTAGAAGAATATGTCTCATCTGTATTTCCATATACAGCTCAGTTTGTGACTGACATACTAGATAACTAATTTGCAAGGGATATGGAAGACAGAGTCACATAAAGGGGGCAATTAAATAGAACCCCAAATATCAGACAAAAAAGTCTGGGACATGATCTAAGAACTAGTATTTCTATGAACACCTGGTTGGTTATACTATTGATTTGTAGAAGAAGTCAATGCATTTTGGCAAGGAAAATATAAGTATTTTAATGATTGTCATACTATATTCTCTTGATTCTAAGAATCATTTTGTCACACATTCACATTCTTTATGTTGAACATGTTATCTTTATATGTCAGTATAAAATTGGGATAGTAGTACTTACGATGTTATAAAGATTAATGCTCATCATATAATGCACTTCAGTCATTACTACTGTATAGTAAATTTTATACTTATGTAGTTGGCATATACATTTAATGTAGTCCCTTTAAGCCTGAAAGCAGTAGATTGCTTCTTTGTAGCACTGAGGATTGAACCCATAATTGCATAGGCGGTAGGAAAGTATGTTATCACTGAAACACATGTCCATCCCTGCTTTTCTAAAACAATTGCTTGTGTCTTAGTATAGAGAAATTAAACCATGTGAGAGATGGTAAGATCTCTGGATAGGGTGGTGGTTGTAAGTATTCAGAAGTAAGTCTAAGAGAGTTTGCCAAAAAAAGTTGACTTGACGACTTGTGAATGCAGTGAACTAAGAAAATTGATGACTCTTTCGATAGTAGACCCATTAATAAAGTTCATGTTGTGTGACCCACAACTACAAAATCATTTTCATTCTTCCTTCATAACTGTAATTTTCCTACTGTTAGGCATTACAATGTAAGTATCTGATACTCAAGATAGCTGTCTGTATATGTGGCCCCCGTGGAAGTGTTATTTGATTCCAAATGTTTTGCAACCCACAGGTTATGAACCACTTTTTCAGATTGTAAACCTGAAAGAATGGGTAATAGGTCAGGCTTAGGAAGGAAATGTTATTTGACATATTTAGAGGTTTTGGAATAGTGTTACTCACAGCATTGTATATGTGAATAGGAGGACTGTTTAAACTGTGTACTTAAGTTTAATATCAGACACTTTTAATACAAGTCCCAACATAGTAATAAATTTCATATGTCATTTTGAACAAAAAATCCACATGTTTAAGGAAAATTAAAGTATCGCACTTAAAATGTTTTTCAGTATAAATCAACAAGGAAGAATTCAAGTGGCAATGAAAATGAGGAGGTGAGACAAAGGGTGATATTAATTTGAATTCTTTATTTGCATATTTAGTTGGCTTAGTGAGAGTTAATGCAGTCCTGCTGTCAATTTCTTCGTTACTGAGCATGTGTTTCCTACAATGATTAAAACTTCTGGGGTTTGCTATATAGTTACTAATTTAATCATTTCTAGTGTTTTCTAGAAAACAATTTCTAATAGTGTTAAAGGTTTATCATTTGACTTGGATCCATAACCAGATCTTTAGCTTAGATTTGTTAACATTTCCCCCTTTTACTTTCCCAAACAGAATGGCAAAAAGGTATTACCATTGTTTGCATGTGTGTGCATGATGTGTGTACACAGGTGTGGTTGTATGTGTTTCAGGGCGTGCATCTGGAGATCAGAGAACTGATTTTAGGTGTCTGCTCTCTTTTCACCTTGAATTGCAGATACTGAACTTGAAGTCAAGGTTTCAGACTTTGGGGGAAAATTCTTTCACTGTTGAGCGGTGGTATCCATCCAAGGTTTTAAAGGAACTTTCTCCACAGATACTGTTCAGGGTTTTAAAACTGTACTTACAGTTTACATTCCTGTAAATGTTTCTGTTGCTTCATGCTACAAACAACACAGCCACCCACCCCTACTGAAACAACACTTCATCCCTGCAATCCCCAAGTTTTGTGTGTATGAGATTGGAGAAATTGGTAGTTAATTTGATGTTTCTTACTTGACAGGGCATCTGAAAACAAATTTATTTCTTGGAAATATAATTACACTGGGCAAAGTAAGTTAGCTATATGAAGTACCTTTGCCTAACCTAAATGCTGTTGTCTTTTCTTGTCCCATCAAGTAATATTTACAGAGACCTCCCCACCCCCAAAAGACATTTGTTTCCACAGCTTCCCATTATTTCCTTTTTAGTATCTGTGGTAAATCGTGAAAACAGTTTTGTGTAGGTATATTTGATAATATTTATCTGTTCATGGTTGCAGTCCATTCATATGTATGCTCCTGGCTTTCAGTTGCACTTTGCAATATCTGTTTGATCCTTAAGTTTTATTCATCCTGCATCACAACCCACTGTACACAACCCACTGTATGGGCTCTAAAGTGCTGGTATCAGTACTCAGAGTTTTGGTAAGTAATATCAGTGTACCAGATGATAGCTCTTAATTTATGTCTCTAGGTCGTGCTTTACCATAGAGCTTTAGGCTTTTATAGTAATGTGTCCTTCTTCTTAGCTGCTTGGAATAATTTGTTCATCTATGACTCAACGCGTGTTCACCTTTTTTCCACACTTCAAACACATTCAGTTTTTCAACTGAAGTGCCTTTTTAAACTTAGGTTGTACACTGAAAACTCAGGATATCTGGATTTTACTCACAGATATTCAGATTTAATTGTTTCTCTCTCTCTCTCTCTTCTCTGTATATGATATGACACATTTGAGAGTTTTCTATTTGAGTTTACTGTGCATGAAAAGCTGATAACTTCTTTATGAAATCACCATCTCCCTTCTAGACAAGGCAGAAGTTGGCAAAGTGGCCCAGAATAAAACCTGGCCCACATGCTATGTTTTAAAGTAGTGTTTAAGTACAAAAGAGTTGCAACCATTTGCCTACGCATGCTTTTGCATTCTAATGGCAAAGTTACTGCTGAGACCATGTGGTCCACAAAAACCAAAAATGTTTACAGTCTAGCCTGTAGCAGAAAACATTCTTTGAATTCCCAGTAGAGGTTCATTTTGCCTCTCCTTTCTGCTTTCTCACAGACACTTTCCTCTGACCTGTTTCAATGTCTAATTCATGCAGAAAACCTATTAATTCACTTGTTAATTTTTGGGCACTGAATCATTTTGTTTATATCACCTTCTTTACCATCTTTGTTCCCCTGGCATAGGCCTTCAGTCTTTCTGGCTTGGAGTATTACAGCATCTTCCTTGCGTTTCTGTATTTATATTATCTCTTTGTCGATCTGTCTGTCTGCCTGTCTGTCTATCATCTATCCATCCATCCATCTATCCATCCATCCATCCATCATCTATCTATCTAGTGTGTGTGTGCCATATATGCACCCATGTGGGCACATCCTTTCTCCAGTTGTCTTCCTTACTTAGTCCGTTCAATGTCATTTTTTGAAACAGGGTCTCTTAATTGAATCTGCAGCTCACAGATTCAGCGGGGCTTGCTGATCTTTGAGCTCAAAGGATCCATCTCTCTCTTTCTCTCTCTCTCTCTGCCTTCTCATTGCTAGGATCACAGAGGCATGCCATTGAGTTTTGTCATTGAATGTGGATGCTGGGCATCCCAATTCAGGTCCTTATGCTCACACTACAAGTACTTTACCAGCTGAAATGTGTCCCCCGTCCCTCTTCTCTTTAGTCCATTTTCCCTACTGCTTTTGGAATTCAAGTACAATAAGGCCATACCTTGGCTTAGAAACCTTGCATTTCATACCGTGCCTTAAAAGGCAAATTTCTCAGTCCTTTATTGACCAAGACCCCGGTTGCCATATCAGCATCAGCTCATAACTAGCCCTGCTTTCCCTTCTTTTACCTTTTAGAATTCAGAGTTCCTTTACCGTCATCTTTTTTTTTTTAATTCAATTTTTCTCTGTTTTCGTTCTTCTCTTTTCACTTTACCTGGATTTTACTGACATTTTACTTTCTGACGAAGCTTCTATGTTTTCCCCCACCCCTTCCCCTTTACTCTACAGTGTCTTTGTGATCTCTACTATGCCATACATAGACTGGAAATGTTATATTACCTGTACGCATGAATCTGTGTCCCCTCTAGACTGAGACATCTTTAAGGATGATATTTTACCAAATTTCCTTATTCTTAGTGTCTAGAACAGTATCTGACATAGTAGGTGGTCAATAATCATTTGTCAAATAAATACATGTTTTATGTGGTATTTTCCAGGTTGAAAATGCATTTTCATTTGGTTGTCATTAGAACATTCATTCATAAGCCATGAATTATTTGTTTTTACTTACTTAAATTTGTAACTGTTTCTCTACTTATGCTAATACTCATAATCTTCCAGGTAGTTTGTTATTTACCATGATGATCCTTTGCCAGTCTTCACTGATGTGTCTCAGGGGCTAATACATCTTCCTATTGTGCCTGCACGGTACTTTTGGGTCTTTAAGATTCTTACAAATCACCAGGGAATCTTATATAGAATCTGCTTCATTGTTAGTTGGGGCCAGCAATTGCTTATGTCTAACAAATTCCCAGAGGATACCTATACCGTGGCTCACCAACAGCATTTAAGTGGCAAGTTGTTCGGTTGTACGCTTGTACGCTGCCAATTCCTCCTTTGACAATGGATTGAAACAATTTCCCACTGTCCTTTTGTATGTTAAAGTCATCATTGTGTATTTTAATTTCATCTTTCATGTGTTTATTTTTACATTCTAGCAAGAGAATGATAATGCTCATATGTCACCACAGTCTCCCGTATCATCCGAGGTACAAGTTGTTTTAATGCTTCATATCTTTTCTGTGTTTTATAAAGAGTTCTTCCTTGCCTCCTTTCTCAGATTTCCTTTTTTTTTTTTTTAACAAAGGAATTTATTCACATCTTTTTGAAATCTGTGGTTGATTGCTTTGTCTTGTCTGTAAAACAATTATGAATAGCATTCCTTTGTATGAATATTCCTAGTGAAGATCACTAACTTGTGGTTTTCTGTGGAACTTATTTCTACATCACAGAACGTAAGTCACTTTATGAGATGTATGCCTTCTCTTCCCTTTACAGTTAAAATAAGTAGTGGCTTTTAACTATAGCTTAGGGATGTTAATTTTAAAAGTGCCCTGGAGCATTGTGCAATGGCCTTTGGTTTTCCTTGTAACCAGTTAGGTCTGAAAGCAATGCAAGAGAAATGGCCTTTTTCCACGAGAAACAACCCTGTAGTGGGTTGTTCCTATCGACAGGAGGTCACATATTTCCTGGCATCTTGTATCTAAAGAATAATGGAGAGCTGGGATACGAAAGTTATCATTTCTAAAATTTTGTTCAAGTACTGTGGTGCTTTGACTGACTATATAACTTAATCTGTTGCTTTACCACAAGAATTTTGAATATGTAAAATAGTATCTCATTTAGCTTTGATTACTTTTATTATTCTAAAGTCCATCTTCTTTGGTAGGAAAATGATCATTTTGCGAATTTATGTCGTAAAATGTTTGCTTGGTCTGAATTTATTGTATCAATTTTATCATACAGTTTTTTTGTCTCATTACATGTAAATGGATTTGTTTTTAATAATCTCTATTTTTTATTACTTTGGTGATTTGTATTATAAAACTGTTCTGTTATGGCTATGAGCATTATTTCAATAAAATGATTCTAAATTTTATGTAAAGTAAAATGATAGAGTGCTAGAGAAAAATTTAAATTGGAATATACTAAAAGCAGTCATAGTTGTATGCTTTTCTTTGTAAGTTATGACAACTGTAAGGATAGATGTGGCTACCACTTTGTTTGCATAGTTACTTTGTGGTTTTATGGCCCGTGTCTACCAGGAAGTGTATTAAAGTCATTTTTTCAGGTAAGTTCCATTGCCTTATAGCTTTTGCTTGTGCTTGAATAAGTGGAATTTTTGTGTAGGAATTTACAACAATTTAAACAAAATAACGGAGACAACACTTAAGAGTATAGATGGGTAGTAGGATGAACATGTGGTTTCATTGCTCTACTAACATTCCATTGAGCTGCCTAGCACATCTGGGGAACATTCAGATACTCTACAGAATCCTCACTGCTTCAGTTTCATGGGAAAAGGAAATGATAAAACCCATTAGTGTATGACATTATCAGTCTCTCTGTTTAATTTGAACATAAATATCATCCCATTTATGTGCCTTTATTATTTGTAGCTGAAAAGACCAGTAGCTTTAGTAACTAAAGCTTTGGCCCTACCTGTTTCCAAGAGTTGTCACCCAGAGTAATAAGGTTTTACCATGATTATATTATATTTATTTTCATAAATTATGAAATTTCTAAGGCACTTTAAATTATTACATTTAGTTTTTTCAACAATCTCATTTGAATTGCATGGACTTAATCACATTAAAATGAGATGTTTATGCACATATACTTTAAGCTTTTTACTCTGATCATGGGTTTATGTAATGTTATATGTATCTTTCCATAACTCACCATGGCTTGAAGAAGCACTTTAAAATATTATGTGTTCAGACGGAAGAGATAATCATGTCCTCTTATCCATTATTCTAAAACCCCTGTAATTGGGGATTGGCCTCAGATTTTCCACTGCTAAGTGTCAAGACAATGTTACATACAGAGTCTGTGTTTTTAAATCTTTTAAGTGATGTATGCTTCATTATTTTTGAGATCCTTCTTTTAAAAAAATCCATCATACCTTATTAATGGTCTTCCTTTTCAGTTTTTTCATACTATAAGAAATTATTCTGGGCTGGCAAGGTACTTGACTGGGTAAAGGCTTTTGTCTCCAAAGCCTGACCAAATCAGTTTCATCACAAGGACCCATATGCTTGACAGAGTGACATTACTCCCCCAAGTTGTCTTCCGGCTTCCACATTCCTCTCTTTCCTTCTCTTTCTCTCTTTAACACACACACACACACTCACGTGCACACGCACGCGCGCACACACACACACACACACACACACACACACACACACACACACACCCCTACCTTACTTTTTAAAAATGCAATAAAGATTTAAAATTGTATACCCAGGTAAATGAGGATTATTTATTGAGTTTTAATGTGAAATGTATAAACTTGAGTTGAAATCTAGGTTGACTTCCACTATGCAGGTAAACATTGGAAATAAATATTTCTCAAAATTGGAGTGGTTATGAAAAAGTGCCTTGATGAATTTGAAACAAGTGTTTTGCAATTTTTTTTTAGGAATATGACAGGACTGATGGCTTTTCGCATGGCCCTTTTGGCTTGAAGCCTAGATCAGGTATAGTCTTTAAATAAAATTCGCAGTCTGTCTTTGTTTAATGTAGAGTTTCCCAGCTTAAATGGGTTGGGATCCATAATTTTATGTACTGAGAGATTCTTTCCCTTCTTCTAAAAGCAATTTTCTTTGGATCTTATTTGTCTTCATAGTTCCCATCACCGTTTCTTTCTTCCCATTACCTTCAAGCTCTTGTGATGTCAGCTTTTTGCCCTAGGTATCCTGCAGTCTCCCCTGCTGTGACTGCTATTAGAATGATCCCTCTGCCAGCTGACAAAACTGTTTGAAATTACAGCACTCCATTATATTGCGGTTTTAAAACAGGGATCTTTTTGCATTTGGCATGCCCCAAAGAAAATGAATCCATTTTACTTGGCAAGGTATTGAATTGTGGTCTTATTCCTGAATAACCACCTTGATCTTCGAGAATGATTGCTTTTTTTTTTTTCTCTAAAGCTAGAAGACTGTCATATGTTCAATCATCATTTTTAACCTGGGTCATAAGTTTCTCATAACATATGGTTAAATAAGAACATATGTAAGTGGTAGAAGTCATTGCACTTGTGTTGACTGTTGCTTTTCAACCATGTATCTAACGATCATTTACATGTAATTAAAAATGTTTGGAATACATTATTAATAACATCTTCTGTAATTCTATATTTTTATCATGTCTTTTTCTCCATGGATGACTGTTCTTTGTAATATCTTTATAAAAAAGATGAGGAATTTCTGTTTCTGTACAGCTTTTAGTCGTGCATCTCGTCAAGAATATGGGGCAGCAGATCCAGGATTTACAATGAGAAGAAAGATGGAACATTTACGGGAAGAGCGCGAACAGATACGGCAACTTCGCAATGTAAGTCATGTTGACTTTGCACAGCTCCTATATAGAAATAGGTTTCACTTGGCAAATTTGTATAGTAACTTTGTTTGTAATGCTTTTTCATATTTTGATTGTATAATTAGTATTATGAATGCATATCATATGTTAAGGAAAGACATTTGCAGTTTATCCTCATGTCTTTCTAGAATCTTGAATCCAGATTAAAAGTAATTCTGCCTGATGACATAGGAGCAGCACTGATGGATGGGGTTGTTCTTTGCCATTTGGCCAATCACATAAGGCCACGCTCTGTAGCTAGTATTCATGTACCATCACCAGCAGTGGTAAGTAGTGTCAATAGATTACTGTTTCTCCTAAGGAAAATACAAGTTTTAAAAACTGTCTTTGCCTAATGTACTTAAGCTAATACAATTTTCATTATTAACTAAGTTCTGTATAAATGGATTTGAAATGTATGTCATTTTCCACTTACTTTACAGCCCAAGCTGAGCATGGCAAAATGTCGAAGAAATGTAGAAAATTTTCTTGATGCTTGCAAAAAGTTGGGAGTTTCACAGGTAATTATCTGACAAAATCATCATTTACTTATTAATCTATTACATGGAAAGTAGAATCAGTTACAATCATCTTCATGGTGAGGGATGAGTCAAGTTTTGTGAACACAAACTAGTACATTTTCTTTGTCCCTCTACTGTGTTCCTATATGTAATTGTAGCAGTTCTCTAGAAAGTGGTTTTGTTTTTTAACCTTGAAAGAAGACTTTTATAGCAGGCTGGAGAGAGGTCCTGAGTTTATAGGGCTCTTCTAATGGTTTTGAGTTCAATTCCCAGCAACCATTTGGTAGTTCAGAACCATCTGTAATGATATCTGATGCCTTCTTCTGGCCTGTAGGCATACCTGTAGGCCGAATACTACTTACAAAAAATTAAATAGATCTTTAAAAAAGAAAACCAAAGAAGTCCTTTCTAAAGAATCTGCCTGTGTGGAAAATGCCTGTTGGTCATAGATATCACTGAGTAAACAGAATGTAGTGACGAGAACTCAAGCTTGACTGTGACACTATTACTGCTGTTTATTTCTTTCTGCTGGAGGGCATTTTAACTACTTTGTTGTTCTTTACTGGCATGCTAGAAACTGAACCCAAGTCCTCATGCTGGAAATTGAACTCACGACATTATACATGCTAGACACCCATTCTACCACTGTGTTATACTCTAGCCCTCCTTTGTAACTTCATGAATAGATACTGAATGGAAGATTTAAATTAGTACAACTGTATTAGAAGCAATGAGACTCTCAAATTAACAATCTTGCTGGAGAGAAGGCTCAGCAGTTATGAGCACTAGCTGTTCTTCCAGCGGACCCAGGTTCAGTTCCCATCATCTGAGAACTAGAACTGCAGTTCCAGGGGATCTGACACCCTCATATAAACACACACACACACACACACACACACTCACACACACACACACACACACACAAAACACCAATGCACATAAAATAAAAATAAGCAAATCATTATAAAATAAATAAAAATACATAAAAAACCAAAAATCTTAGTGCTACATATGATAACATTTGTAGTGGACAAACTTTGAAATGAATGTGAATTGGCTTGCATTTTACATAATAATTGCAGTTGTGGCACATGCCTTTAATTCCAGCACTCAGGAGGTAGAGGCAGGTGGATCTTTGTGAGTTCAAGCCAGTCTGGTCTAGAGAGGTTTTTCCAGGACAAGCTTTAAAACAATACAGAGAAACCCTGTCTCTAACTCCCCCCAAATAATTGCAGTATTACAAAATCAAATCAGTACTGCCAGTAGATTAATATGTGTAATAAAAATGTTGACTGTTTTGAAGACATCATAAATCTAACCATAATGTTACTACTGAGAAAAATTACATCCTTAGACTACAATGATTTTGTGTTAAGCAATCTATTTAAATGCTTTCCTTTAAAAGGTAAAATTATTAACTGATTGTCAAATCCAACTTCATCCATTTTCTCCACTGAATAGACACTATATTTAAAAGAACCAGTGAATTCACATGCACATCCTTAACCACTTGCTGTCTTTTTCTTATTATCTGCAATTTATATATGGTGTCTTAAAATTTTATTTCTTAAAATCCTTATTTTTGTGTGCTTATAATTTATTATGAAATTAAAAATTGAGAAAGTTTCCCCAAGCTGCTATTACACAGTATTACATGCTTTTACCATTTTTTGTTTTGCATTTACTTTCCAAGTTTTTTTTAATCTTTAATTTGACAGTAATAATACATAATTATTTTATTACTTTTTTTTGCTCTAGGATACTTTCTGATTTTTAAACAATTTTACTGGGGTGATACCAATATATCATAAGAAACACATTAAGAAGTGTATAAAATTTGATGTTTTTATACTTAAAAAACATTCTGGGCAAGTGGTCGTGACAAGCCTTTAGTCCCAGCACTTGGGAGGCAGTGACAGGTGAATCTCTCTGAGTTCTAGGACAACCTGGTCTATAGAGTGTGTTTCAGGACAGCTAGAACTGTTACACAGAGAAATACCACTTTTCCTCTCTCTGTAGTTTTCATGTTATATCTAAAAGAAAAAAAAAAAAAACTTTGCCTAATACAAGGTCGTAAGTGTTTATACCTATACGTTCTTGGAAAAGTTTTTCAGTGTCATTTAGATTTAGGCTTCATTTTGAATTTCAGTTTTGTGTATGGTGTGCGATGGGTTTGTAAATTTATTCTGCATACCAAGGTCTACTTTTCCCAGTGCCAGGTGTTGGTTGATAAAAAAGACTCATCTTTCTCCACCAAATTATCTTGTTACTGCCATCGAAAATGACTTGTTTGGAAATGGAAATCTTCACTTCTGTGCTCCCTCTTTTACATATTGATTTCCTTATGGCAGTAACACCCTGTCTGATTATAGCTTGGTGGCACATTTTTTAGACAGTGTGTATGCTGTATGCTGCTGCTTTATTCAGTTTTAAGGTTATTTTGGCTGTGGTGATTCCATTGCATTTTCAGATGAATATATCAATTTTAGTGTTTAGCTGGTCAAGTTTGGTAAAATGGCCAGCTTAGATTTTGTTTTAGTTTATGCTGTGTGTGTGTGTGTGTGTGTGTGTGTGTGTGTGTGTGTGTGTGTGTGTTTTGGATTTGCAAATACAGTTTATTTTATAGAAATTCAACATTATAAATAGCAGGTACCTCCCTCCCGCCCATCCCCGGCCACAGACTCTGCTATGGCAGAGTGAGCAGCTGCGGCCTACTGCTTTGGGTGAGAGTTGAGCCATGGAGGCTGCCCGCTCCACGTCCTGCCTGCCCTGCGCATGCACATGCCTGGCCATCGCTCAGGCTACCAGAGTCTGTCTGGACCAAGCCTATGCTGGACCAGTTACTTGGATCCTGCCCAGTTCTGCAATTCCTTCATGTCATCATCTTCCTTCTTCTTGACAGGTTTGGATGGTAGGGCTACAGAGGGGACATTTGGTAGTGGGACTGTTTCAGGCTACTGATATCCAGCAAATTCTTGTCTAGCTCCTCCTGTTCAAGTTCCTCCAACTCTGCCAAGAGCTGTTCCTCATCAAATTCTTCCCCAAAGCCTACAGGTTTGGAAATAGCGGTGGAAATCTCCTCTGATAGTTCTTGCTGGGCAGCAATGTCCACTTAATCAATGTCCATGTTGTTGTGGGCAGCTTTCATGGCCTTGGCAGCGTAGCCCATGTTCTTGAGCACCTCTGTGTTGCTGTTGGCATTCTCCAAGGCCTCCTGCTGGATCTCGATGTTTGACATGGTGCCTTCGATCTGTGCCAGCTGCTTCTCGTACCTCTTCTTGTGCTTCAGAGCCTGTAGGGCTGCACGTTTGTTTTGGTGCCATGCTTCTTGGCAGCCGTCACCTCCTGTTGGATCTTCTTCTCCAGGAACTCCTGCTTCTTGCTTAGCATTTCCTCCATGTCCCGAAGCGCTGGATGGCCTCCTGGGGGGTGGGGCCGCCCTTCCTCCTCTTACCCCTCCAGTCCCAAACAGCTTCCCCAACAACATGGTTGCTGTGCAGGTCCCTGGCGCCTGCTCTGGCTTGGCTTGGCTCAGCTGCCTGCTCCATGCCACACCACTCCCTGCAGCTGCAGGCATCGCCTCTACCTCCGCCCCGCCCCGCAGCTGGGCCCCAGTGCTGCGTTTATAGAATACTTTCCAGAATGTTGTTTTCTCTACAGTTTCGTTCTTTTAATCCAGGAACATGAGATGCCATTTCATTAATTGATTCCGCATGCCTTCAATCCCAGCACTCGGGAGGCAGAGGCAGGTGAATCTCTGTGAGTTCTAGGCTACCTGGTCTATAGAGCTATTTTCTGGACAGGCTCCAAAACAGTACAGAGAAACCCTGTCTCAAAAAACAAACAAAGCAACAACAAAAAATGAATTTGATACCTTTTAAAATCAATGTAACCAGTGTACTGTGATTTCCAGCGTATGAGGACTTTGCCTTTTCGGTTAAATTAAGTATTTATCATTTTATTCTTTTATTTTACTATAATACAATTACTATCTTAATTTAAAATTTTTCCAGATTTTTATTGCTATTATGTAGAGACGCACCTGATATTTTATTCGTTTATCTTGCCAAATTCACTTCTAGTAGATATGTCTGTAGCACTTAGAATGTTCTCTACTTGAAGTCACATATCACAAATAGGATGCCCTTTTGAAACTTACGTTTCCAGTTTGGACGTTTTTCATTTGTCTAAGTGTTTTGACTGGAATCCCTTTTACGTGGAATTCTGGTAGTGAGTGCTATTGGAAGTCTTTTCTTTCTTATTTCTGGGAAAGCATTAAATCCTTCATCTTCTGGTATGATATCAGTAGATCTTCCATACCTGCTGTTCCAGAGGCTTGATACATTTCCCCCAAGTTAGTTTCTTACAGTTGTCCAGTATCATGCATGAAAGCCCATTTTCTCTGTAGTCATCTGCCTTTTATCTGTATCACAGGCTGTTTGTGTGTTTGTGCATCAAATTTTTGGTTACTTATTTAGTTTCTTTAGCCATTTTTGCTCCATAATTGCTTTGGTAAGTAACTGTTGCTCTTCATAGATTTTTGAAACCATGTAGTATTAGCTATTCTTAGTCTTTTGCATTTCCATACACTTTTAGAGAAGTTTATCCACTTATGTAGGAAAAGCAGAAAGCCTGATTAAATTACAGTGGAAACTTTGTTAAATTAATAGAACAAAATATTGAGAACTATATCTAGTTAAACAATATTTTTCTTAACTTCTGTAAACAATGTATGTCCTTAGTGGAATCTTCTTAAATTTCAGTCACAATTAATTTAGATATTAATTTAATATCTGGTCCTGGATTGCTAACATACATTGATCTCTGTGTTCACAATCTTGCTAAATCATTTCCCCACTCCCTCTCCTCCAATGAACAGAAATAACCTCTTTTTCCATTGTGATCTGGCTGATTTTGTTTTGTTGTTGTTGTTTGTTTTCTGGTTTTTTTTTTTTTTTTTTTTTTAAGACAAGGTTTCTGTGTATAGCCCTGGCTATCCTGGACTTCACTTTACAGACCATACTGGTCCCGAACTCATGGAAATCCACCTGCCTCTGCTTCCCAAGTTCTGGGATTAAAGGTGTGCACTACTTAGCATATTGTGTGCTTTTTTATGATTTTGAATTGGGATTATATATATATATATATACATATATATATATATATATATATATATATATATATATATATATGTCTTAGTATAGGCTTAAGAATGTGGGATTCAAGAAGAGAAGTATTCAGAAGAAAGTAAGACACACAGAGGATGGGTATAAGCTTCTCTAAGAAGAGCCTTAGAAAGTAAGACATACCCAAGGGTGGGTAGAATTTCTTCAAGGGAAAGTAATCTGTGGTATATTCTATATTTTCTTCCTTGCTAAAGTTGATGGATTAATTTCCCAGTACAGTCTTGAAGAAAAGTGGTCAGAGTGGACATCCTTGTTTTATTCTGCACTTTTAAAGATTTTAATATTCCTCCTTTGAAGTCTGATTTACCTGTGTGTTTTACATAAATGACCTGTTATCAATGGAGGGAGTTCCCATCTATTAGTAATTTGCTTAACTTTTTTTTTTATCAGAAATGAATAAAGAGTTTTATCAGATTATTTTTCCATATCAGCTGGTATGATTAAGTTGTTTTCAGTTTCTTAATAATTTGAGTCATATTGATTAATTTTATAGACACAAAATCAACCCTGAATTCCAGAGGACTATTCCTCCTGATCATGATGCATTTTGTCGTTACTGTTTTTTTAATGTTGTTCGGGTCTGTTTTTAATTTTTTTACTTAGATTTTTCACATTGATGCTCATGAGGAAGTTGGTTTTTAATTTTCTTTTAATGATTTAGTCTGTTAGATAGTACTGACCTGCCCACTGGGATGAATTTATGTTGTTTTTCTGTTATCTATTTCACCAAGTTTATTAATAATCAATCTAGACAAGGGGCTTCTTTCTCCAAAGATTTCAAAATACAACTTATAAAACAGATGTAGGATATTCTAGCTATTGTTGTCTTTGCATGAGTTTCAGTATGTTTCATTTTTCAAAAATCTTCTGTTCTAGTTTATGAAACTTACTGTCATAATGCTGTTTATCATACTACCTTGTTTATTTACTACTTGTTAAATATTTTATGATGTTTATTCTTGATAATGGTAATTTGTATGTTCTTTTTTGCCTAAATAGAGGTGTGTGATTTTTTTTTAAATTAATGACCTATCTTTCTTGTACTTTTCTATCATTTTCTATATTTAGTATATTTTTCTCAGTTCTTGGCTATTTCCTTCTTTATTTCAAATTTATTTATTTTACATCACAGCCACATTTTCTCCTCCCTTCTCTCCTCCCAGTCCCTCCCTCCATCTACTGTATCTCTGTTTCTGTTCAGGAAAGGGCAGGGCTCGCAATCAACAAAATATGGCATATCAAGTTTCTATAAGACTAAGCACCTCCCCATGTATTAAGCCTGGACAAGGAATTCCAGTATGAGGAGTATGGTTTTATAAGTCAGTAGAGTTGGAGACAGCCCCTGTTCCTGCTGTTAGGAGTCCCACAAGTGGACCAAGCTACACAACTGTAACATATATGCAGAGTACTTAATTGGTTTATTTTGTTTTTGTAATTTTTGCTTTGAAACTTCTTTTTATAATATTAATTAATTATTTGAATTTTGAGTAAATTACTAGAAGAGTATCAAATATAGCAATGAAAATTGAGATGCAAACGTCATTTTGGGGCTTCTTCAGATATCTCCAGTAGTATTTAGTAGTACTAATTTGGTTGTAGAAGTAAATATGAAGGAGGAGGCTTTTAGACTTCCTATTTTTTGTATCTGTGTGTTTTAAAAAATGACTGAAATACAAAATCCAAAAGATAAGCTGATTTGTTGAAGCAGTTCTGTCATGGGCATGTTGATTTTGATGTATCTCTAGGAGATGGCTCACTGGCATTTGCTTGATATACCTTTAGTGGAAATATAGGGTTAGAATTCAGGGTGGGAGTGAGAGTTAAAATTATTAGATAGAATACCAAGGAGTGGTATAGTGAAAGAAGATAAGAGTGAATATGAAATTCTTGAAAATATGTAGGGCATTAGGAGATTAGTAAAGACTACTGTAATTTGAAGCCCGACTACTATAGGCCAATTGATGAACTAAACAAACTCATTGCATAGAAAACAAAATAGAGATAAGGTTTCAAGTAAAGCACTGATTAAAGGTTGTGGTAATAGAACAGTCAAATATGTATGTGCACCATGTGATATTTAAGAAGGTGTTGGTAATTTTAAACAGCGCAACTTTAGTGAGCAGATGCATTAGAAGCAGCTGTAAGATAATAGAGACTGAGCAATGGTGACATAATCCTCAGCACAACGTTTCTGAGTAGAGATAGGTGTGTAAGAGTAAAATGAGGGCATTAGAGACCAAGCTAATCTCTATAATCACTTTCTTAGTATAAATTGTGAATCTAATCACATTTTGTATTATAATCAGGAAGCAAAATGTTGAATCATTGTGTTATTTACATTAAGTTGAATAGAAAGCATATTTGAAAAATCTGCTTCTTTGGGTTGGAGAGATGGGTCGGCAGTTAAGAGCACCTGCACCCATCTGATAACTGTATTTGCATGAGATCTAATCCTCTCTGACTCATTGTCTTGGATTAAACAGGATTAAACAGGGGTATAGGAGCGGGTTTCGAGGAAGGAAAGAGGAATGGAAAATGAAATGGTGCAATGATAAATCTCAAAAAAATAATATAATAAATAAAGTTTTAAAGTGTGTTCCAGACTTATATTTTCTCCAGCTACTAAAAAGTGAACATTCAAAACCCTTTTCTCTTTCCCCAGGAGAGACTCTGCTTGCCTCACCACATTTTGGAAGAACGAGGTCTTGTGAAAGTTGGTGTTACGGTTCAGGCACTCCTTGAATTGCCTACCACCAAGGCATCTCAGCTTTCTATGGCTTGATGTGACGATTAAAAAAATATACGTGTATTTGAAATGATTTCAGATATCTCAAAATCATGAAGAAGAATGTCCAGTAAAAATAGTTTGCCTTAGGTTTCTTTTTTGCCAAATTACATTAAGATCTCAGAATTTAAACTTTGAGTTGTTGGGATAAAATTGGATTAATTTAAGAGGAGTTTTTGATAAATTAAAATTTTCCCTTTTTATGTTAATCAAGAATCTTGACTGGTTTTCAAAATGCAAATTGATTCAAAATTTAAAACATGCTTTCATTTTAATAATCACATTAAGTTGAATATTTTTACTTCACTGTATACTATTAAACATCTGGGTAAAAGTAATCATATTTTAGGAAAACAATTCTATATTTGAGTTATTTCATATACTAGTTTGTACACAATCTCTTTACTATTTTGTCTTTGTTTCCTAGAAAAAATGAATAGAAAAAAAAACCCTGGCATTATTCAATTCTTTTAGTATTATCAGTTGGTGCCAAAATATTTTCATTTATATTGTAGGTTGTTTACATGTGAAGTGCCTGTGTAATTGATGAAAATCTCAAATAGTCTTAAGCATTTTTGCAATTTCCTTTTATGTATTAATAGAACCAATGGAATTTTAAACTATTTTGGTAGGTTTTGTACGGTCAGTAATATGTGAGGATTTCAATGTACCTCACATTGGTGGTTTCTTAGTTAACCCATTGCAGTTTTTCTTAAATTGGTTCTTTCATGTTGTCAAAAATGTTAATATGCTTAATTTATGCTATTTAATTTTGCAAAAGCATAATCATCTTTTAAACTGTTTTATCTGAAGAGTATTTTATTTCTGTGTTGAAAACATTCTACAAAGCAGTAAGACTTTGGAGGGCCAGGGAAGTACTAATATCAAGGACATTTTGATCCAACTGTCAGTGTTTGGGTTTATATCTTGACTTATCATTACATTAAGTACATCAGCGCTGCCTCCCATATTCAGAGAGCACCCATTGACAAGTTGTGATTAAAAATTTGGCCATTTATGGATCATGTATACCTTTTGATCCTCAAGTAACTTGATGTTGAATTAAACACAGTCTGTTTCATAAAATAGTGGGTTCAGTAAAGTCCTTCCTTGCTTTGAAGATGGATAAACTTATGATGATAGTAGTGCAGAAATTTTTCCAAAACATTACTGTGATGAATAACTCTGTTTCCTATAGAAGAGCCTTCATACTCACTTTTGTAGTAGCCAAGCAAGTGTCATTTCTTAACTGTGTGATTATTTGCACTTGTTACCTCTTGATATGGATGCAACTTAATAGAAACATTGACCTGGATATTTCAAAGGGCATTTATAAATGTAAAATGTCACGTGCCAAATACTATGGTAAGGATTGGTTTTAGAATTAGTTCTCCATGTTGTGGGTCAGTTGTTATGAAGCCATATTTTTGAATCTTGGCTTCACTATATAGATTTGTTCTTTTCATTCCCCATGAGTCAAATTGGAGCTATTGAAGAGTAAACATTTTTTTATTACTGTAAGTTTTAATAATTAAATTATTGATAATTTATTATTTAAATAATTGATCTAATTAGATGTGATTAAATAGTTGGATCTGAAAAATATCCCCATTGACATAATGAATCTCCTTAGTGAAAATTTGGATAATATAGGTAACTAGTAAGTACCTTAGCTCATGAATTTTTAATTTAGACAGTTGACAGCATTACATATTTTAAGCATTTTACCAACCAAAACAATCATTCATACTTGTTATTGTGCTATAGAATTCCTCTTATTAGTTAATGTTGTGTTCTTTTCCAAGGTTTTTGTGTTTGTTATTATGGAAATAGTTGTGAATCTTTAGGCAATTCCTTTCCTACATGTCACTTGTCAGTTAACTATTGTGTCATAGAGAAATCACGCCAGAACACCAGTGCTCATTCTTTATTGCAAATAAATGTTTTTTTTTTTTTTAAGATGGGTCCCCTTGAGATCTGTAACACAGAATTTCAATTATCATTGTGCCAAAAGGTAATACCAATATCAGCTTTTCAGCAGAGTCCACAATGACAACCTTATACCAGGACCTGGACATATTTCTGTTAGTAGTTTTTTAGTGTAAATTTTATTCTATATGTTTTCTCTGGCTTATTATATATTTACTTCATCAGTTATTGAATTAAGAATGATTATCATTATTTGAATGGTTTTGTGATTTGAGGAGGATTGAATAATTAAAGAGTATTTTACTGGGCCCAAAATATCATTAGATAGTTAACTTCTGTTAACTTTTATGACCATATGGCACAAGAAAGAAGTGATATTGGATATGTTTCAATTAAAATGAGTAAAAATGCATAACCATTTGTTTAATACTTATCTTTATAGAATGCTAGTTTAATGACTTTTGTAACTGAATTTTTTGAAGAATTCAGAAATGTTTGTATTAGTCACAGATTTATCATAATTGTTTTCTGATGCATTTAAAAGAAATGGAACACTAAATGTATATTACCGATGCAAACTGTGGATAAAATTGAATGAAAACATCTAAACCAGAACTCCTTTTCTTTCTTTTAGTCATAATTCCTTCCTATCAATGTCTCCCCTTTTTTTTTTTTTGGTCAGTGTGAGATAGTTCGTGCCTGTGGTCCCCACTGTGGATGAAGCCTTATGTACTGGCAATGTTCTCAGTGAGTGCAAGTGCTTTCTGTGAAGGATGACAACTTGAGTTTGACTTCCAGAACTCACGTTGTGGTAGAAGAGAACTGAAAGCTGAAAATTGTCCTTTGACTGAGTGTACCCATGATTTTAACCTTCACAAGTAGACCTTGGCACTCTTTTGACCCACACAAAACAAACAACTAAATGCTTTGATAAGGTAAATACACATAGTAGGATGTTTTAGTTGGGGATGGTGGTACACCTAAAATCTTGCCTCCTAGAGAGTCTGAATTGAGAACGTGTTTTGAAACCAGCAGTTTAAGGCTAGCCTGGCAAACAGTGAGACAACAGCAGCAAATGCAACAGAAGCTGAAGTATATTGTTGTAAGAGTCCTGATTGCTTTTATACCATGATATTTTCAAGACAATTTTGAATAAAAAGTTGTCTTTAATCAATCTTTACAATCTAATGTTATCAATGTATGATGGAAAGAGAAAACTTTACTTAAGCCAACACATTGAATAGGCTAATATGTGATTGTTTTGTTGTACTTTTTAGTGCTTCATATATGACAGAATTATAAGAAATCTATTCTTTCACTTTCAACTGTAATTTTTCTAAGCATGCTCATATTTAGTTGGACATTGTGGCTCACCATTGTAATTCACTTTGGATAGGAGGGTTATAGTGAGTTTGGGGATAGCCTTCACTACATAATGAGGCATCGTTAGAAAAATACCCAAATCACTTACTTCAATATAGTACCGATTATTTGTTTATAATTTTGCTTGTCCCTAAAAGTAGAACATTTATATAATGGCAAATACTATTGAAGAGAATGTTGCTATAGTTTCTTTAAAGCTACATATTTACATGAGCACTTAAGTGAATACCTATTTAATAAAAGGTGTTAAAAACTAGTCCAAGTTTATTGCAGAATTTTTAGTGATCTTTAGCAAGCACTTGACTTGCTTTCTGCTTTAATAAATAAGTATTTTTTGTATTCTACATTGGACGGCTCTAGAATAAATTCTCAAGCACATTCCCCATGGAGGGATACTCCCTTAACCTAGAGGCAGGAGGGAGGAGGCTAGTCCCTACTCCAAATGACTTTACAGATTTTGATGATCCCTCCTGGAAGGCATCACCGTCCCTGTGGAGTTGGGGGGTGGAAATGGCATAGGAGGGAGGTCAGGGGGCATGGGAGGGAGGAAGAGGCAACTGGGATCTATGAAGAAAAAAATTAAAAAGACTGTCTATGATTAACCTCTGGCCAACATGATATTAAGTGGGGAAGAACTTGAAGCTTTTCTACTACAATAAGGAACAAGATGATGTTGATATTATCTACATTTAATAAAGTACTGCAAGGGAAGGAAGATTAGAAAAATAAGTGAAAGGGATCCAAATGGGAAAGGAAGAATTCAAAGTATCTAATTTTGTAGACAATTTGTTTCTACAGGTGAGAGTCCTTGGAGATTCTACCAAGAACACTTGAGACTGGTAAATATTCTCAGCAAATTGGATACAAAAGTCACACACACACACACACACACACACACACACACACACACACACACGTATCAGAAATCATAGAAACAATTGCCTTTACAATAGTCTCAGAAAACACCCTGAAATAAACTTAAGCAAAGATGTGAAAAGCCTCTGTAAGAAAACTTCAAAACACTGCAGAAAAAAAAATGGAGGAAAATATAATAAGACAGGAAAACTTTCCATGCCCATTGATCAGAAAAACTGTCATTATGAAAATGACTGTCTTTCCAAAAAGCTGTCTAAAGGTTCAATGAAGTGAAATCCCAAGGAAAAAGAATACTACTGGTGGCATCAACACCCTTGATTGCTGTGGTTTTGTAGCATAACATAAAAACTATGGTGATATTACCAGCAGTATTATTTTTACTCAGGATTGCTTCCATGTGAATTTTAAATATTTGTTATATCTGTGAAAAGTATCATTGAAAAATGAATGTGTATTTGAGGGCATATATAATGTAACAGTCATTGCTGTGTACCTGGTGGAGGGTAGGGGCTGTGGGGAAATGGATGGAAAGCTGAGGGTCAAAGGGGAAATTTATGTGTTGGATCTTAAGTCTGGGTTGAAGATGATGAGAAAAAACATGAGAAGAATACAAAAGACAATCAGACATGAAACACTATTTTTCAGCTATAAGAAATGAGGCTTGGATACTTTATCAGAGGAAACTGGAGAAAGTTGTCAAGAGATGAAGTTGAAAATGTTGACTAGATTAGGTTATGAGAAATCCTTGAGTGACATGCTAGTAAGTTTAGTTATAATTTTGTAATAAATGATAATGGAAGATTCCAGTGAAAGGCCATCTATATTACGCTTCCAGAC